GGGCTCTGCTAGCTTGCCAGGCTTCTCATATCGCTGTGTTTTTTCTCAAAGAATCGCTGCTAGCCTACCCCATCCAATTCCTCTAAGAATCTCTGCTGGCTTGTCTAGCCCGTTTTCTTCGGTTTAAAGGCCCATTGAAGCCAAAAACTTACCAAAATTGCCGCCAGCGGAAGCGCCGATCGCCACACCATGGTCTACAGTACCTAAAAACAATTTGAGGCCATGAAGAGGGCAAGAAATCGGGAAAATGATCCTCAAAGATCCCTGCTAGCTCGCCAAGGCTAGGGGCATGCTAGCAGTGACAATTTGGGCGGTCAGACAGATTATGATGGCCGATCCAGGCGCGGCGTTTATCCAAGGAGTGAAAAGCGGAGCGGAGCGGAATAACCCGAGGGGGGACAGGCGGGAGAAAGGGCGAAAACTGGGTTATCGATGGGAGGAGGGGGCAGAGAAAGAGAACAATGAAATGGAGATGGTGATGAATGGAAAGGGGTCGCGGTGGGACCGGTCTTGAGGAGGATGGGGTTCTCGGGGGTGTGATTCCACAAATCAGAGCCCAAACAATAGGCGGGAGAAGCTGGCAAATGGTCTCTGCTAGCTTGCCAGATTGGGGCATGCTGGCAGGGATTCTTTGAGGAATTTCTAGCGAGGGGAAGGCTAGCAGAGATTCTTTGAGGAATTGGAGGGGCAGGCTAGCAGAGATGCTTTGAGGAAACGGGTAACAGCCTGCAGAGATTCTTTGGGAAGCCAGGAGCCCCAGTTTCCGGTCCAAATGACACCTATGCACGTGCCAATCTACTGACAACCAGCCCACCCTGGGTGGCTTCGGGTCCTGTTTTGGTAGCGAGAGAGAGAGAGAGAGAGAGAGAGAGAGAGAGAGAGGGAGAGAACCCAAAAACACCCGGGGGAAAGGTGTGACAATTCGCCGAATGGCCTCCAGCCACCGGAGCCAACTGGAACTGGCGTCATTTGAACGGTCGGGTAATCGAACATCATCAAAACTAGACACAACTCGACAGGGCGGCCTAGCAGAGATCATTTGAGGAATTATGAATTGGTGCTAGCTAGCAGAGATTCTTTAGGAGTTCGGAAATCACCAGGCAAGCCAGCGAAAAACCCTTCAAACGAAATTTCCAAACCACTACTGTTGACAACGCCGAAATGTCCCAAAATGGAGTGCTACTCCATTTTCGGATTGCGGCGGCTATAAGGGACACACTTCGGTGCTCCTTTAAAGAGAGCACCGAGGGGGGCGGGGCTGAAAAACAGGGTTTAGGGATGCTTATCTGAGGTCGGGTGGCAGAGGAGGAAGGTCGGAGGAGATGATGGACCACAAACTACAAAATACATTCACGTCATTGCGTTAAGAAATGGAATGCGAATCATAGGCTTGGCTTAGGCTTGGCTTAGGCCTAGGCTTAGGCTTAGGCTTAGGTTTAGACGAAGCCTATTTCCAAAATTCGAAGCGGAGATTCTCGCTCCTAAGCGCTCTCTGCTAACCTGCGCCACCCGCATCCCTTCTCTAGCGGTCTCTGCTAGCTTGCCCCGTCCGTTTTCGAAAGAAATTTGCATAAATTAGCAATTATGTGGCCAATCCTAAAAAATTCCGGTATTCCACCACACTTCCCTGATCCGGAATGGGCGACCCGGCTGAGAAGACGTGCCCCGATGCGTCGCGACGTGGGCTACGCGATGCGCCAACTCCGTAGGTTTACAGCAGGCTAGCAGATATTCTTTTGGAGACCACCTTCAGTGGCCCTTTAAAAGCCTTCTGGGTCTTCTGGGCTCAGCTGGGCTTCTTTAAGAGCTTGGAAACATCTTTAAAGGTCCATTGAAGTCAGGGCAAGCTAGCAGAGACCATTTGCAGCCTGGTCCCGCCGCTCACCGAGTTCTGCCAGACGTACATTGTGAAGAAGCCGCTGGGTCTGCGGATTACGAAGAATACGTTTCAGGTAGTTGCCTCTCACTCTCTCTCTTCTATCTGCTATCTCTCGCTTTTCCAGGTGACCCACATCGATCCGAATTCCCCGCTTCGCGGTCTCGTCTTCCTCGGCGACACCCTGTCGGCCCTCAACGGGAAGAAGATCAAGAAATACGAGACGATCGAGCAGATCCTCGGCGAAAAAGCCGAGGTAGGATGGCAGAGATCTTTGGGTGAAGAGAAAATCGAGTAGGCAAGCTAGTGAAGACCATTAGCGACGGTTTTTGCTTCAAAGGCGCCTGAAGCTCCGTTTTCGTAGTGTCACCGCACCTTTAAACCCGTTTAAAGAGCCGGTGAAGTCAGGGCGGCTAGCAGAGGTTCCTAGAGAAAGAAAACAGCCTGGGCAAACGAGCAGAGACCATTTGCCGCCATTTTTAGCGCGTCAAAATGGAGTGCCAGCACGGCGGCTTCTCGTGCTCGAAGCTGCTGGCGACGACGATCGAGCGCGTCCACGTGGGCACCGACTTGGACAAGCCGGCCGGCCGGATCGTGTCCAGATACGCGGTAGGCTGGCGGAAAGCATTTGGGAAGCTGGCAAAGACGCTTGAGGAGAGCCTGAGCCGCCCCCAGCTGTCCTAGCCCCTTTAAAATCCAATCCCAGGTGTGGCTCCGCTTCCCCGACGCCGAGAACCACTCGAACAGCCTCGGGCTCACCATCAAGGTATTCCGCAAACGGTCTCTGCTAGCCTGCCCCTTGCCGCATTACAGTACGACTCGCGGGAGCGGCTGATTGTGGCTGACGTCGAGCCCGGGTCGCTTGGATCGATTCATCTGTCTCCTGGAGATGTCATCAAGTGAGCGTGGGCTTAGGCTTGGGCTTGGGCTTAGGCTTAGGCTTAGGCTTAGGTTAGGCTTAGGCTTGGCTTAGGCTTAGGCTTAGGCTTAGGCTTTGCTTAGGCTTAGGCTTAGGCTTCATCCCCAGCTTCCAGGGAAGTCAACGACCAGCCCGTCTCCTCCATCACCATGTTCATCTTCAACGTCAACAAGAGCTGCGTCACCACGAAGACGGTCAAGGTAAGTTCCTCGAAAAGAATCTCCGCTAGTCTGCCCCTTGCAGTTGACCCTCGAGTGCCTGGCCGGCGGCCAGGAGATCCACGACGAGGCGCTGGTGGCCGACGACGCGGTGGATATTGCCGTGCAGCATGTGGGGCAGCTAGCAGAGACCGTTGGGGAATTCTTGCTTTTCCAGCTCGAATTCCTGAAGCGCGGCCAGGTGGACAAGGCGCGCCCCGCGCTGCGCACCACAACGCCACAGATGGGGAAACATGCTCGTGGGTGATTTGGGGGGGGGGAGGCTAGCAGAGGTTTTTTGTGGAATTGGAGGGGCAGGCAGCAGAGATTCTTTGTGAAATTGGAGGGGCAGGCTAGCAGAGATTCTTTGAGGAATTGGAGGGGCAGGCTAGCAGAGATTCTTTGAGGAATTGGAGGGGCAGGCTAGCAGAGATTCTTTGTGAAATTGGAGGGGCAGGCTAGCAGAGATTCTTTGAGGAATTGGAGGGGCAGACCAGCAGAGATTCTTTGTGAAATTGGAGGGGCAGGCTAGCAGAGATTCTTTGAGGAATTGGAGGGGCAGGCTAGCAGAGATTCTTTGAGGAATTGGAGGGGCAGGCTAGCAGAGATTCTTTGTGAAATTGGAGGGGCAGGCTAGCAGAGATTCTTTGAGGAATTGGAGGGGCAGACCAGCAGAGATTCTTTGTGAAATTGGAGGGGCAGGCTAGCAGAGATTCTTTGAGGAATTGGAGGAGCAGGCTAGCAGAGATTTTCTGAGGAATCGGAGGGGCAGGCTAGCGGAGATTCTTTGAGGAATTGGAGGGGCAGGCTAGCAGAGACCATTTATTCCAGACATCACCTTCGGCCGCGTCGAACGCACCGAGTACCAAATCGCCTCCCAGCTCGACCAGGAGAAGCTGAAGCCGGCCAAGTACGCGCAGCGCAGCGGCTAGGCCAGGCCCACCTCGTGGCGAAGATCCGCCCCCCGCCCCTCCCCGTCTCTTGTGATCAAGCTTAACATTAATGCGAAACTGTATTCCAATTGCTGTCTCTTTGTGTTGTCTTGTGACGTCCCGTTTCCCCCGAATTTTCGATAAAGTTTTGGTCATTTTTGGAATGTCGTCTACTGAGGGCTTTTTGATCGATCATTTTCCGACTCTACATTAAAATACACAAAGAGAGAGAGAGCGAGAGAGAGAGAGAGAGAGAGAGAGAGAGAAAGAGCTAGACAGAGCGAACGAGAGAAAACGAGAGAGAGAGAGGGGGAGAGAGAGACTGAGAGAGAGGGAGAGATCCAGTGTGTGTGTGTGTGTGTGTGTGTGTGCCCGTAGTTTTGAGCATATGCCATTTGCTTAAAAGAAATCTTTTATTGGTGCCTGCTTTAGAAGATGTAGAACATTAGGAGAACGATCGCCGGAAGCATCGGAGATAGCTGGCCAGATGAGCTGGCCTCCTGAAAAGGTTAAATATTTGGTAGGAATGGGCTGGCCTTCCGATTCTGTTATCAAAAGTAATAAAAATCATAATTTTGGTGCAAATGTTTGCAAAATTACTGCAAAAATGAAAAATTTTCGCATTTTCACAATTTCGAAAAAATATATTTTAAACGTTCTAGCAATCCAATTCCGCTAAAAACACTATCAAAATACTTTCTATAGATCTACGGGGTATATGGGTGGAAAAGCAGACACTGGTTTTACCCTTGGCTAAATATCCCACCCCCCGATAACAGTCCAGCATCGAAACCTTACCGGGGCAGCTGATGTCGTGGTCGGGGCCGAGGCGGGCGCAGCTGATGTCGTGGTCGGGGCCGAGGCGGGCGCAGCTGATGTCGTGGTCGGGGGCCGAGGCGGGCGCAGCTGTTGTCGTGGTCGGGGCCGAGGCGGGCGCAGCTGATGTCGTGGTCGGGGCCGAGGCGGGCGCAGCTGTTGTCGTGGTCGGGGCCGAGGCGGGCGCAGCTGATGTCGTGGTCGGGGCCGAGGCGGGCGCAGCTGTTGTCGTGGTCGGGGCCGAGGCGGGCGCAGCTGATGTCGTGGTCGGGGCCGAGGCGGGCGCAGCTGATGTCGTGGTCGGGGCCGAGGCGGGCGCAGCTGATGTCGTGGTCGGGGCCGAGGCGGGCGCAGCTGATGTCGTGGTCGGGGCCGAGGCGGGCGCAGCTGTTGTCGTGGTCGGGGCCGAGGCGGGCGCAGCTGATGTCGTGGTCGGGGCCGAGGCGGGCGCAGCTGATGTCGTGGTCGGGGCCGAGGCGGGCGCAGCTGATGTCGTGGTCGGGGCCGAGGCGGGCGCAGCTGATGTCGTGGTCGGGGCCGAGGCGGGCGCAGCTGATGTCGTGGTCGGGGCCGAGGCGGGCGCAGCTGATGTCGTGGTCGGGGCCGAGGGCGGTGCGGCCGGGGCTGAGGTTGACGTCGAGGCCGGTGGGGCAGGGGCCGCAGTCGACTCCGTCGCGCGGTCTCGGGCTGCGGCCGCGACCAGCTCGACGTCTACTGAAAACGATTGATTTATGTATGAAGTAGTCGAATCCCTTTCCGTCTCGCGCCCCGTGCCATGTCTACGACATATCCCCTCGCCCTTACATTGTGTCTAGAGATGACACTAGAGTTATATACCAAATAATATTGATTGTTACCTGATTCTTAACGGATCTAGTTGTGACTAGCAAAACGACTTACTTATCGAGATGAATTCGGGCTCCTCCCAACTTCCCCAGTACGAGGTAGGTACTATAAATGAAACTCGTGTTCACTGGCAGCGCAAGCCGTGACGCGGAAAAACCAAAATGAGAAGGGACTTTGTACGTAAATTTTAAAAGACAAAGCTTACCGCAGTGGCCGGCCTCTCCGGAAACTTGTTCCCAACATCCGGGCGGTAGCGTCTGTCCGTCTTGGTCGATCAGATCGTAGCATGCCTTGGCCGGGGTGCGGCATACTAAAATTAGTTGAGAGGTTCGTTAGCGGGAGGGTCTATCAAAATTGAAAATCATAATGTCGGTTTTAGAATGTCGGAATTTAGAGAGGAGAGAGAGAGCGCGGGAGTGCGAGAGAGAGAGAGCGGGAGAGAGGGGAGGGAGAGAGAGGGAGAGAGAGAAAGAGAGAGAGAGAGGTCAAACATACTGAAGAGGACGTCCGTCGTCCGATTGTGGTAGACGACACCGGGGGCCGTTTCCGAGATTTTTCTCTCATTTAGCATACAATCATGTGTGAAACGGTCGACCGCCGAGCATAACCATGTTGCTAAATCAATAAACTATTGGTTGGCCCGCGCTTTATTTAACGGGACGAGCAAGGCTGGGCTATAGATTTTTTCGCTCCTCCAGATGCAGGATCCCCCGTATCGGTTCTGGACTGTTAGCGGGGGGGAGGCGAATTATGATTCTCCACGGCCCCTTTACAAAATCTCGACCGGTTTTATTGGATTTGACATTGTTTTTAGATATAGAAATAATAGAACAAAAGTGATGAAAATTCGAAAATTTTCCACGCTTTGTTCAAAAATGCATGAAAAATGGCGGGAAGACGTGGTTGCCCCTCCCCCACCGCTAACAGTCCAGCGCCGGGGAATCAATGGTCATCCCCCCGTTGCGCGTTCCTTTAAAGGGCTAAAGACAGGCGGGCACTCACCGTATCGTTCCTGTTCCGTTGGGGCGCAGGCAGTGAGCTGCCAGAAGATGGCGAGCACGGCGGCGATACGGCGCATCGCCCAAATTGCTCTTTTTCTGAAAAAATACTCTCTATGCTCGCGTACAAAAATGGGAAATTTTTGGTAGAAATGGCTGAAATGAGAATACAAAAATTTCTTAATGTCTACACTCAAAAAGCACAATTTCAGAATGCATCAAACCTATAGAATGCCTACATTTTTTTAGCATGCAAAATTTTTTGAATGCCTAACATTCACAGGGTAAATTCAGTGCGTGGCGCGAATCAAATTTAGCCAGTCGGAAATTTACGTATTCTGGAATTTATGCATTTCAAAATGTATATATTTCTCTCTTCGACATAAAGCCATTTAGGCATTCTAAAATTTAGGCATTCTGAATTTCGGAATTTGTGATTTTATGCAATCCAAATAAAATCCAAAAACGTGGTAGCGGGAATCGGGTGAAATGTGGGATTGGCTGTAGATGATCTGGGGGGGGTATATATCCGTGAAAAGGCAATGCGTCTTTCCGTAGACAAAACAATTAGGTGGAGGGGGCTGCTGATCGGCTCAGAGCAAACGATGACCCCCATGCCGGAATATTCCGGTGCCCATCGTGAAACACGTGAAAATTCCTGGGCCAGCGTATGTTTTGGCTAGCGAAATACGCCCGGTTAACAGTTTGCGGGCGCGTCAACATCTCAAATTGTGTCTTGTGATATCATAAAATTAGAGTTTTCGCGAAAACGATGACCATCGGTGCCCATCGTGAAACTCGTGAAAATTCCGGTGCTAGACTGTTCGCGGGGGGGGGACCGCATTTTCCTTGCGATTGTCTACTATGAGCCATTTTAATAGCATTTTACATAGTTTTTAGGTAAAAAACAATATAAAAATAATATGTTAGCGAAATCGTCGACTTTTTGGCCAACAATATATGAAAAATGATCGAAAAAAGTCGCATTTTTCAAAAATTTCAAAATTTTTTGACGATGTTTTTTCCTTTCTGGCAATCTAAAAGTACTAAAAACACTATTAAATACGTATCCAATATATATCATCCACAGGTATGATGTATAGGTAGAAAGACAGAAAGTGGTTACCCCAGGTTAGCCTCCTCCCACCCCCGCTAACACCCCAGAGCCAAAATTCCTGGACCAACGTATGTATGTTTTGGCTAGCGAATTACGCCCGGTTAACATTTTTAGGCGCGCGTCAAAACTATCAAATTGCGCCCTGCAAAATCATCAACACCCCCCAACTTGGGCGGCCTGGGCCAAGCTAAAGCCAAGCCTGAGCTTGGTTTGATTGACAGCACAGTCTAAGCCAGGCTTAAAGGTACAGTCCGTGCTTATGCTGAAATCTTGCTTGGCGGCGAAAATTCAGTTGCCCGGCGGTCCGGCAGTTGTTGTGCCCACGGTTGGTCACGCTGGATCCTAATCGGATCCGGTCCGGTCCGGGGGTCGGTCCGGTCCGTGGCGGACCGAGGGGTTTTGATTTGCTAGGAGAAACGGAAATGCAATACGCAAATTCGGAATGCAAAAGAGTGGCGTACCAAAAAATGACGCAATGTGGAATTCGCTTTCGGACGAAATTCTCGGATCCACTCGGACCTATCCGGACCGGACCGGACCGCGGACCGTCCGCGGCCCGGATCCTTTGTGACCAGCCCTGGTTGTGCCCCACTTTTAGCACCTACCGTAACCTGGCATTCTAAAACGCAATTTGTCTAAGATCTAGACCATGATGATCTAGACCATTAAAACGTGAGCTGACTGTATCATGAAGCTAAATTCAGCCCGTGGCGAGCCAGCACTCAAATCACGGGGCCGCGAAGCGGTATTTTACTAGTAGAAGTTTTCCATGGAAGTATCCTTCAGGAATATTTATGCCGAAAAGCATGGGCATCACACTAACAAAAGGGGTAGATGATGGCGGCGATGAGGTTGATGAGGACGAGGGCCGGAGGTGCCGACGACGACGCCGGCGTGACGGCGGGCCGCTCGTAGACACTGCACGCAAGCTGAACGGCGTTCTCTTTAAATGTTTCATCTTGTTTTGTGATTTTATTCTACATTTTATTTGGCTGCCGAGCGGCCCTATTGGCACGTAACCAACCGCCTCGCCCGGCTCCTGCTTCTGCAACGACTTCCACAGGGTCAGCACATCCTTGTGCACTAGATACCACGAATGGGCTGAGAAGGCACGGAGAGAGACAGGAAGCGAGAGAGAGAGAGAGAGAGAGAGAGAGAGAGAGAGAGAGAGAGAGAGAGATTACCAGAGCTAATACCTGGAGTGAAGGGGGCGCTGGCGAGGGACAAATCTGAAAAGCATCTTTTAGGTTTTCAGGACTCGCGGGGGAATCAACGTTTTCTCGGCACAAGCCTAACAAGGGAACCTCACGCGAGCAAGGGAAATTCGGAAAACGCTCGCGGCTACCCCTAGGGAACCGGTCATTGCTGTGCCCATGCAAATCAACCTGTCGGGACAAAGATTTTATAGCTTTGCCCATTTCGAAGCGCGTAAACGAAGCGAACATTTGATAAGACAGCCTTCGACGATTTGAATGAAGCAAACGATTTGCATGCTAATTATCATGTACCAGATGGTTACAGTCGCTTCGCGACTGCAACCATCTGGCCTTCGGGCTACCCTACATGTCCCACTCCACCACATCCTTTCCCACCTCCATCAATACCCCCCATGGCTGAAATCCCCTTCAAAAACTACCTAAATACCTTCCTGATGGCTTCAGATACCCCCCATGGCTGAAATCCCCTTAAAAAACAAAAATAACGACCGACCGGATGGAATGAGAGAAAAAAAAGAAATGAAATTCCCCATGAAAATTTTCATCCACGAAACGCGCGCCACCTGGCTCACTATGCGAAAATCATGCCAACCTCCGTCCCCCACCCCTTTTACTAAGGAAAAAACTTTCAAAGTTAATTTTAATAATTTAAACTAAAACTTTTTCATAATTTTTTTTTATCAGTTTGGGGGTTTCTGACGGCGCTCTATCCGAATCCGAAGAGAGCTAAGCTCTAGCTCCTTTCCCCTTCGAGTTGAATTCGGCTTCAGACGGACAGACGGACGGACGGACAGAGACCACAGCAAAATTATTATAGTTGATTTTGCAAGCTCAAAGCGCATGTAAAGTGGATGCAAATGGTGGCTCTATCTTTTTGATACTTGGGTTAGAGTGCAGTTCACCCCCCCCCCCCCAAGCCGGCACCCAACTTTTATATCTCGGCTCCCTGTTGGTGTGTAGGGCTTGAGTGCAGTTTACCCCCCCCCAGCCCTAACTTTTCAGCCATACGTCCTATTAATGCGCCGAGTATTTCAAAATGTTCGCCGTGGTCGAATTACTTTACAAAAGTTGTTTTCTTACATCAAAAATTGTTAGAAAAATTTTTATAACAATTATAAGTCTGGGTTTTCTTCAGTTAATTTTTGCTGTTCCAAAGTGGGTTTTCGTATCTCGGCTATCTTTGACGTACAGAGCTGTCAATGGTACCAAAATGTAGCTCTTGCTCTGGAGAATAAGCCTACAGTACGTTTGAGCCGAAAAAACTAGCGGGAAATAAAAATATCTGAGTTTTAGACTCCTAGTACATCGAAGCATAGCGGCTTAATCTTTTCAACTTTCAAAATCTTGTAAAAAATTTTTTAGCAATTTTTGCCGCAAGAAAACAACTTGTTTATAGTAATTCGACCACGGCGAACATTTTGAGATACTCGGCGCATTAATAGGACGTATGGTTGAAAAGTTAGGGCTGGGGGGGGGTAAACTGCACTCTAACCAGAGTTTTAATTTGAGCCTACAATAATGTAAAATAAAAAAGTTATAGCCAAAAACTTCCCGCTGGGGGGTTAAGTAAACCGTAGCCACCGCATTTTTTGTCGGGGCATCTTCAGAGGCTCACCGCAGTTGCAGCTTTTTGTCGCGATCTGGCTGTCGTAGCATCCAATCTTGTCATCGGCCAGCGTTCCGTCAAATGACAGGCAGAAGATTTTCCCGGTGGCACATCCTCAAATAATTGTGGTAACCAGGGCTGAAAAGCCGCTTCGCAACGCTAAAGCCTAAAAACCGCCCCCTCCCCCCCCCCACCCGCAGTAAACGGTAAAAACAAAAATATACTTTGAAAAATTGGGTTTTGTTTCTAGCAAGCAGAAACGCATCAGAATTAAGAGTTTACTTTGCCCCCCCAACAGCCGAAGGGTCTCAAAGTTCTCGGTATCTTCGCTTATTTTGTCGGGGATTTTTGCAACGCCGTTCGATAGAGCGTCGAAAAATATACTAAGAGTTTTAATTTGAGCCTACAATAATGTAAAATAAAAAAGTTGTAGCCAAAAACTTCCGGCTGGGGAGGGGGTGGTAAAGTAAACCGTAGCCCGGCAAAACGCACGGTAGGCGAGTTCGTCATCGGACGTCACCTCCCTAACCGCAAACCAGAGCGTCACCGCATCAGAGCTTCTCTTCTTTTCGTCGTGCTGGCATTTGTCCTTCGTCAGCGCATCAATCGTCGGATCGCATCGATAGTGGATAACTACAATGGTGCGATGGGTGGGCGCAGCGCGGCTACTGGACCGTTAATGGGGGTTCAGCAGGGGCAAATTAATTCCTGGGTTATAGTGCCGTTTACTCCCCCCCACCCCCAGCCGGCACCCAACTTTTGTATCTCGGCTCCCTGTTTCTCTACAGGTATGTAAAGTCTACCAAAATGTTCGTCTTGCTCTGGCGAGTATTTTCGTATACTTTACACACCTGTAGATGAACAAGGAGCCGAGATACTGTAGGTGAGGGTCGGCTTGGGGGGGGGGGGGGGGGGAAGTAAACTGCACTTAAGCCAATTCTTGTTATTTTTGTTAAAGATGAACAGCGTCATTGGGGAAAATGCTATTTCGGCGTAGGCTTACACTGCCTTTCGTCGGAGATGGCGACGGCGGCGACGACGAGCCCGAGAATGGCGAGCAGAAAAGGGCGGCACATCGTTGGAGACGAATCGAATGGAAAAGTCGGGGTGGGGAAGTAGGGCGCTTTCAACCAGCCACACCCGGAAATCCCGACCGCCATTCTAATTGTGTATAATTTGTATGCAAACACAAACAGTTATGCCTGTATCCAGCTCTTAATCCCTTTCTCCTTCGCACCTCTATGAAAGTCGTCGCAGCAAGCCTTATTTCGAGAAAGTTTTTCGAGGCCGGATGGAGGTTCGCCTTTTAGGCTGGCGAACTGCAAGGTTGGCCCAAAAATCTCTGCTAGCCTGCTCCTCGATCACCAGCGGCTTTTCGTTGAACGTCGGTGAGAGAAACGCGGTCGACAAGGGCCCTCGTTATGAATCGCATCACCGTGGGGGGCCCGTAAAGGGGGCATTGTGCTCGTCTCCCTTTCTTTCTCTCTCTCTCTCTTTCTCTCTCTTTCTCTCTCCTCTCTTTCTCGCTCTTTCTCGGGGCCCAGGTGCTGAAAAGCGGCCCTCCAGGGGCCCAGAGGCCAGGGCTGAGGGGGGCCGCAACGCGCCCGCCCTGGGCCCCAGTGGCCAAAGGGCCCCCGAGGGCCCAGTCCACACACCACTTATTCCCCCACCCACTCTCTCTCTCTCTCTCTCACTCTCTCGCCCCGGCAGCGCGAGTGAGCAGATTCCACCTGCCGCTCCGGCTCCGGCTCCCAGATTCGAAATTTCAGTAAGGATATGGATTTATTAGGGCGGCGTCCGCAAGAATCCCTGCTAGCCTGCCCTCGATTTCAGGGAATTCCCGCAAGATCTCTGCTAGCATGCCCTTTTTCGATGGTATCCGAAATAATCTCCGCTAGCCTGCCCTGCTACGCTGTTCTTCCCCAATAATCCCTGCCAGTTTGCCCTGTCCCCGATTTCCTCAATGGTCTCACAAGGCATTCCCCAAGAATCTCTGCTAGTTTGCTCGGAGCGAGCCAGTTCCTCGATGGTCTCCGCTAGCTTGCCTAGTTGCGCAGACTTTCGCAGTAGTCTCGGCTTCCTAAAGAATCTCGGCAAGCTGCCCAGCTGTGGCGTTTTCCACAAGAATCTCTGCCCATTTGCCCCTGACGGAAATCCTGCAAAGCGTCTCTGCTAGCCTGCTCGGACTTTCTAAAGAATCTCTGCTAGCTTGCCCACAACTTCTTTCCAAAGTTATCAATGCTAGCCTGCATAGAAAGGCTCGATTTCCGCAAGAATCTCTGCTAGCTTGCCCAAAGCCACAAATTTCTAGATTTCAGGGCCTGGCCACCCCGTTTTTCCCGAAAAATCTCTGCTAGTTAGCCCTCGAAGCGAGATTCATTATTCCCTGGAGAGGTGAGAGAGATAGAGGGAGCAAGAGAGCGAGGGACAGAGAGAGAGAGAGAGAGAGAGAGAGAGAGAGACAGAGACAGAGACAGATTCCCCCTTTTTAATTGGACGCCACTCCCCCTATCCGCGCCTCCCCATTCCGTTTCTTTCCGCTTTTCCGGCCCCGAATTTCAAATAAACCCCGAAATACCCAAAAATCCCATCTATTTATGCAAAATTTGAGGGACCCGCCGCTTTGATCGATGCATCTCGCGCTTCAAACCCAAAATTAACCTAAAAATCTGGATTTCAAAGGCGCGGCAGGCTAGCATGGAACATTAGGGAATTTTACAGACCTGGGCAGGCTAGCAGAGATTTTTGAGGATCTCGTGCACTCGACGATCCCTTTTGCCTATGCTCTGGTTTCGTATTCATCCCCCTTCAAAAGCTCATCCTCCGCCGAGCCGGCCATTCCGTTTCGCTACCCACGACATCGATCCCGGCTTCTCCCCCTCTTCGGGGCCGAAAGGGACCCGAATTCGTGAAGCGGCGAGAGAGAGAGCGGGAGAGAGGGAGAGGGAGAGAGAGAGACTTGAAGTATCCGTTGAAAAGTTTTGAATAAACTTCTAGAGGGCGAGTCCTTAAAGAATCTCTGCTAGCCTGCCTCCTCGAAGTGAGAGAGAGAGAGAGAGCGAGAGAGAGAAAGAGTCAGCGAGAAAGAGAGTGAGAGAGAGAGAGCGAGAGCGAGAGAGGCAAGAGAAGCAGCGCATGCAATATCCTCGATTCTGCCCCCCTATATGTACACATTGACGCTACAGAATCCCCCGGCGCTTCATCCTGCTCCTCCCGGCCGCAAGTTTGGCCAATTTTCAATCCCAGGGTACACACGCGGCACACGTTTCACGCCCCATCCCCGCACACAGCTCTCATTCTGTAGGGAGGGCAATGCCACTTCCTGGACTCTAGGATTTGGCTATAGTGGGTCTTAGGCTCAGGCTTTGCTGAGGCTTAGGTTTAGGCTTAGGCTTAGGCTTAGGCTTAGGCTTAGGCTTAAGCTTTGATCCTATGGATTTTGCCTTCAATGGTCCTTTAAGAATTTTGGTACGGCTGCAGGACAAACTGGCCAAGCCGTTTGCGGAAATTTGGCGACTTGGAAACCTATTATGCCGGATTTTTGGCAAAGAGACGCTTCAATGGCCCTTTAAAGACCTGTGGAAGGCAGGCTAGCAGAGATTCTTTGTGGAATATGAGGAAGGCAAACCAGCGGAGCGGCATTTGACTTTCCCAAAAATAGCTTCCCTGCCCCTTTAACTGACCCCCTGGGGCCCAGTTGGGGCTGGGCCCTTGGGTCTGGGCCCTTTATGGGCCCCTCCCCAAGCAACAGGGCCCTTTCTGCGTCTCTCTCTCTCTCTCTCGCTTCCATACTTTCCACATCAAAACAAGAGCCGCTCCTCCTCCTCCTCCTCCTGCTCCCCCCATCAAAACTCACCCAGCCGTCCCCTCCCTGCTGGGGGCCCTTCCTCTTTCTCTTAAAAAACCCACTTCATAGCCCTGGGGGGGCACATTGGCGGGGTGAAGCTGGCTGACTGACTGACACAGCCACCACCACCCCAACAGCACTTTTCACCCCCAGCAGGGGGGGAAAAGCCCCTAGTGCAAGACGGCCCAGGTGAAAAGCCAATGTCCGGCCGGCGGCCAGGTGTTCTCACGTGGTTTCGTGAAGAATCTATGCTAGCCTACTCCTCCAATTCCTCAAAGAATCTCTGCTAGGTTGCCAGACCCTGCCTGTCGTTCCTAAAGGCTCTCTGCTAGCCTGCCAGCCCCTTGAATTCATTTTCAGCTTCCAGTGGGTCCTAAATTCCCTCAGCTAGCCTGCCCTCATCGGCTGATCCTAAAGAATCTCTGCTAGCTTGCCATGATCCATAAATTCCTCGAAAAATCTCTGCTAGCTTGCCCACTGAGTTCAATTCTCGTGCATTTTTGGTTTTTGACATCAAAGCACAGCCCCTCGTTTCGAAATATTAATGGGAATTTTTATGAGGGTTCCGCATTGCGATTTACGATCCAATTTGTGCGTGTATGTGTGCGTGGGCGTAGCTTATGTTGGTTTACCCAACTTCCAACCCCCCCCCCCCCACCCTCGGAAACCACCGGAACATCATTGAATTCCAGCTCTGTGTTGGGAGGGGCAAAAATGAGGGTCACTCTCTACCTCCCTCTCTCTCTCTCGCTCTCTCCCTCTCTCTATCTTTCTCTCTCTCTTTCTCTCGCCCCTCTATACAAACAAATCTACGAGCCCTCTCCAATTTTCCGAATAGATACACCCCCCCCCCCCCAACCGGACCAGACAACATTTTGGAGTCTGTATTTGCCGGGTTTCGGCTGTTAATCGATTTCTCTCTCTCTGGCTCGCTCTCTCTCTCTCTCTCTCTCGCTCTCTCTTGCACTCACCACCTATTTCTATCTCTCTCTCATCGCTCTCTTTTTCCTAAAAACGTGACATCCGTAGCTTTTCTAGCCCTTCTAGCCTCTAGACTATGGCTTTCCATTCCTGTCACCTTAAATCCGTCACGACTACGCGCAGATACGATCTTTACGCGCTCCCAGCGAAACGTTTCGACCACTTTTGGGCCCCGAAAACATTTTGAAACTGCTTAGGCTCGGCTTAGGCTTAGGCTTAGGCTTAGGCTTAGGCTGAGGCTTGGACTTGGGCTTAGGCTTAGGCTTAGGCTTAGGCTTAGGCTAGGCCTAGGTTGGGCTTACACTTCGGCTTGCTCCACTTTCATATTTTGACCATTCAATTTTTGCAGCCGCCGAAAACACCCTTTTTCAGGCACAGCTGGAGCCGCAGCGGACGCACCGTTTTTCCTCCGCCCGATTCCCCACTTCCAGCTCCCTTTAAAAATCGATAGCGATGGATGGCTGGCTGAAGGGATCGTAAATCCCGCGAAGAGGACGACGAGCTTCCTATGGACGGTCATCACAGCCACGACGGGTAAGGAACCTCTGCTAGCCTGCACCTTGCCTCAATTTCTCCAAGGATCTCCGCTAGCCCGCCCCCACAATTCCTCAAAGAATCTATGCCACCCTGCCCATTTTTAGGTGTTCAGCGACAGCCCGCGCCCTCGACATGTTCAACCGGCGGGGCTCTGTGATCGCGGTCGTCATCGGGGGTAGGCTAGCAGAGATCCTTCAGGAATTCATTTTCAGGCTCCACCCAAGATGTCCTCCCCAACACTTCCGGTAGCCTTTCCGGCCCTTCCGGAGTCCACCAGGAGCATCCCTCTACGGCTTCTGACCCTGAGACGCACAATCGCGGAGCCGTGGACAGGCCGACCCCGACGGCGCCGGGGTAGGCTGGCAGGCTTTATTTGGGAATTTTAGGGTGTCACAGTGCCTTTAAAACGCTTTTCTACTTTTTAAAGGGGCCGGAAAGCCTAAAACCGTATCGGGCAAGCTAGCAGAGACCATTTAACCCATTTTTTTTCAGCGACTGGCGACCCGTCTACCCTCGATTGGTCTCCCACCATGACTGTATAACGCTGGCTTCATCGTGGGGCCTTGGGCAACCGCCGCCTTGGATTGAGCACAGAGCTACAGGTGGATCTTTTGTCGTCAACGGTCCTTTTAGGCGGTTTTAGGTGTCGCGGCACCTAAGCCTAAGCATCTCGCCAATTTATATTCGATTACCCTATCAAATTCACGCTACCTGTCTTCAATGGCTCTTTAAAGTCGATTTCCTAGGTGTCATCGCGCCTTTAAAACGTTTTAATTGCCGGATAAGGTATAAGAACGGGAATTCCTCTTCGGTTACGCTATCTTAATCGCACTTGCTGGCTTCAATGGCCCTTTAAAACACATTTTCAGGCGCCAGCCAAGCCCAAAGCCCGACCGAAGACGACCTCGGCGACGGAAAAAGCAACGATCTGCTCCTCAGCTGCCCGGCATTCAGGTGGGGCCGGGCTGGCAGCCACCATTTTGGACTCATTTTTGCCTTCAACGGTCCTTTAAAAGGCCGGGCAAGCCAGCAGAGGCCATTTGAACCGAAATTTTCTTCAGAAACGAGCTTGGCGTCGAGCCGGTCCGACGAATAGCCCTGTCGAGGGCTACTCGAGACATGGTGGTGGATGTGAGGAGTACGGAGACGTGGCACAGGTGCGTGGATTTTGCCTTCAATGGCCCTTTAAAAAGATTGATTGACCTTTAAAGGTCCTCTCAAGCCAGAAATGTGATAGATTTAGCCTTCAATATCCCTTTAAAACATAAAAACCACGATTCTTGTAGAGAACACACAGCCGCTGAAGCTCATATCCTGGAGGACGTCTCGAATGTGTATCTGGGAGGCAGATTATGCGCGGCGAGACAACCGAAATGCGTCATAGAACCTCAAGACATTGGCAGCTACTACTATCGGCACTGTTTCGCGGGAAGACGTACGTTTTCCTAAAGAATCTCTGCTAACTTGCCCTCAAATTCCTCATAGAACCTCAGCTAGCCTGCCTTTGCAGAACACGTCGAATACGTCGGGATGACAGAAGACCTGGGCCCAGTGGTCGTCTCCGTGGTCAAAGATCTCTCCGAAAAGAGCAGATTGGCCAGTGTTCAGCCACAAACTACAAACAACGGCTGTGCGAGCGCTCAACAGCAACAGGGACAGCAGAAGGACATCAAGGGACCGAAGCAGATCGTCTACCGGATGATCATCAGGATTGGAGACGTAAGTAGCTTAGTCTTAAGCTTAGGCTTGGGCTTAGGCTTAGGCTTAGGCTTAGGCTTAAGCTTAGGCTTAGGCTTAGGCTTAGGCTTAGGCTTAGGCTTAGGTTTAGGTTTAGGTTTAGGCTTAGGGCTTAGGCTTAGGCTTAGGCTTTGCTTAGGCTTAGGCTTAGGCTTAGGCTTAGGCTTAGGCTTAGGCTTAGGCTTAGGCTTTGCTTAGGCTCAGGCTTAAGCTTCTCAAGCCCCCATTTTTCAGCTCAAAACCCTGCGAGTAGCCGTCCCGGAAGAGATACTCCCCGAACCAAAAGAAGGAGCCGAGCGCTCGAATCGAGTGCTTTTCAGGCAAGCTAGCAGGGATTCTTTGAGGAAATTTTTGGCTTTTAGAGACCTCCTCGAGATCGTGGCCCCGCAGCTGCACTTCCCGGCGTTGAGGCCGGCGCTTCAGACGCAGAAATTCGAGGAGTTGTTGACAAAAATCGATGAGCAACCGATTTATGCGAGATATAAGGTGGATTGTTGGGTTTTATGGGCCTTTAGGAGCAAATCTATCGGCAGTTTTGCCTTCAATGGTCCTTTAAGGGGACGGGGACAGCTAGAAATTGCGTTTTTTTCGCTTGAGGGGTCCTTTAAAAGCATCTAGAGCGGTTTAAAGGGACAGTGACACTAAAAAACACTTCTGTTTCAGGTCGGAGTGATGCTTTGCGCCGACGGGCAGAGCACCGAGGAACAAATGTACAACAACGAGCACAGCTCACCGGCTTTCGATGAATTTTTGGAATTTTTGGGGCAACGAGTGAGGTTGAAGGGATTCGATCAATATAAGGTGAGTAGTAGGGGCAGGCTAGCAGAGATTTTTTGAGGAATTGCAGGGACCAGCTAGCAGAGATTCTTGAGGAAATCTAGCTTCGTTTTTCAGGGTGGTCTCGACACGAAAGGGGACACCACCGGCACTCACTCTGTGTACGCTGAGTATGAATCCCATGAGCTGATGTTCCACGTCTCCACCCTGCTACCGTACACCCCATCGAATAGACAGCAGGTCCGTGCTGTCGCTGTCCCTTTAAAATGACCAAAACCTGTTTAGCTGGCCCGGAAACGGCATATTGGGAACGATATGGTGACCGTCGTCTTTCAGGAGGTAAGGCTTAGGCTTGGCCTAGGCTTAGCTTAGGTTTAGGCTTCAGTTTAGGCATGGCTTAGGCTTGGCTTAGGCTTATGCTTAGGCTTAGGCTTAGGCTTGGCTTAGACTTAAGCTTAGGCTCAGGCTTTTAAAGGGATGGTGACACCAATTTTCAGGCGGGCGCCCTCCCCTTCTCCCCCCTAACCGTCCGCTCCCACTTCCAACACGTCTTCATCGTCGTCCGCGTCGCCAACCCTTGTACAGAGAATGTTTCCTACAGGTTGGACTCCTGCCATTCCTCAATGGTCTCTGCTAGCCTGCCCAGACCTTTTGATTTCCTATCGTAATCGATTCTCCTTTTAGCGTGGCGGTCTGTCGATGCAGAGACGTGCCTCCGTTTGGACCACCAATCCCACGAGGAGCCACTTTCAACAAATGCGCCTATTTTCATGACTGGCTGATCACGAAGAGTGGGTTTTTTTTCGAGGCAAATTGTCTCTGATAGCTTGTCTGTGGCGCTCTGGATCCTAAAGCTCGCCAAGCCATTTTTTGAGTCCTAAATGATCTCTGCTAGCTCGCTAGTTCATTTTTAGGGCGCTCAAATGATCTCTGCTGGCCTGCCAGCGCCAAAGCTTAATCCTAAATGTTCTCTGCCAGCTCGCTCACTGCTTTTCCGCCTCAAATGACATCTGCTAGCCTGCGAGCGCAAAAATACGATCCTAAAGAATCTCTGCTAGCTTGCCAAAACGATTTGATGCCTCCTAAATGGCCTATGCTAGCCTGCCTGGGGTTCTGAAATCTCTGCTAGCTTCCCTAAGGATTAAATTAGTCCTAAATGGTCTCTGCTAGCCTGCCAAACCATTTTTCTGTATACTAAAGGACCTCTGCTAGCCTCCCCGCACGCCTAACTCCTCAAAAATCCCCGCTAGCTCGCCCTTCACGTCCTACCGTACCCCTCCAATTCCAGTAATCAACGCCGAGAACGCCGTGCACCGCAGCAAGAAGTTCGCGGCGATGGCGGCGCGTACACGCCGCGAAGCGCTGCGAGATCTGGTCGAGAATCATGGAGGCGCGCATCCGAATGAGGGTCCCGCGCGGATAGCCAGTAGGTTACGGTAGGGCTTGGGAAACTAATTTTTTTAGGTCGTCTCCTTGGGGGGTCGGTGAAGTCGAAGCGGGAGAGGACGAATCCGTTGAAAGCCACTTTGGTAAGGGCGAAAATTTAGAATTTAAAGGGCCATTGAAGGCAGGAATACATAGCGTAATCGAATGCGAAAAGACGGGTTTAATTAGATAGCGTAATTCGATTGTAACGAGACGTCGAAGACCGGAATACATAGTGTAATCGAATGACAATCTGTCGGGTTTGATTACCTATCGTAATCGGATTTTAAAGGACCATTGAAGCCCGAATTTCATGACGTAATTGGATAAGCAAGAACCCGAAAACCTGGCTCTTTCAGTTATCCCCGCTTCGCGGCGCCGTCTCCTGGCTGGTCGACGTGCACGACTTCTCGATGAACCAGCGTGTCAGCTGCGTGCTGGGTACGGTATTTTACGTTTTTTAGCTGTCTCCATCCCTTTAAACTTCGAAAACCGAGGATTTGAGCGTTTTAAAGGGATGGTGGCACCAAGAAGCCACTCAATTTTCAGGCCTCTCCTATGACGCGCTGGTGCTGATCGAGCGGCCGAGCGGGACGCCAATTTTCATCACCCCCACGCATTCGATTATCGGCTGGGCGAACACGGAGATGGGGTGGGCTAGCAGGGATTATTGGGGGAAAGGGGCGTCGTTTGGGCTTAGGCTTAGGCTTGGGCTTGGGTTTAGGCTTAGGCTTAGGCGTGGGCTTAGGCTTGGGCTTGGGCTTAGGCTTGGGCTTAGGCTTATGCTTAGGCTTAGGCTTAGACTTCATCTGAAACGAACGATTTCAGCTTGAAAATCTACTACGACCATGGTGACATGCTTCTGATGAGGTGCGTAGCGTCGTCCGAAAGCTCCGATGCTGAGCTCCAAACGCTGCTCGAAAGACTCAACAATGGTCAGTTTACAGGTGTCACCATCCCTTTAAACAATTTTAAAGGCCCAGTCAAGTCAGGGCAGGCCAGCAGAGATCATTGAGGACCCAACATAACCTCTTCGTTTTAGTTTCGAAAGGCGATGAAGCCCGCGAAGTCGTCGTCAGGCGGGGACGCCACGGGGAAAGCTGGGGATTCCATATCCAGGTATCTATTTGCCTTCAATGGCCCTTTAAACCCGGAATCTCAGGATGAGGGTGTAGTCACTGACGTGGAGATGTACCATACGGCTTGGAAAGCGGGGTTGAGGCAGGGCAGTCGGATCGTTGAGGTCGGATCTCTGCTAGTTGCCCTGACCTACGATTCCTCAAAGAATCTCTGCTAGCCCGCCCTCAATTCCAGATCGAGGGCCAGAGCCTGTCGACGCTTCCGATGGACCGGATGTGTGAGCTGCTGAGCCCGCAGAGCGAAGCCGATGCCTTGAGGCTGCTGCTGATCGCTCCAGCAGCTGATGGAAGCCCGAGGAGGTACGGTAACTTAGGCTTAGGCTTAGGCTTGGCTTAGGCTAGGGCTTAGGCTTAGGCAATCTAGCAGCGATTCCTTAGGAATCCAAGCCTTCAACGGTCCTTTAAACCCAATTTTTCCAGAGGTTGCGAAGACCCGAACTGCGCAGCGATGAAAGGCGCCGCCGACTACATGCTGACCCCGGACGCGTTTGCCCGCCAACCGATTACGTAAAGGACTTCGATTTTTTTTGTCTTTTTCTCTGCCCTCTGCCCCTCTCTGACCCTCTCTCGCTCATCGGCGACTGTTTTTAATACTTTCTGGGTGGCTTACCCGTTCCTTTAGTTTTTCCCTAATCACCTACAATTTTTCTCTTCACTAACACGCCTCTACTTCTCTTTTTTTGCCTTCAATGCTCCTTTAAACGTTTCTAAAGGACCATTGAAGGCAGAGATAGACAAATCTATAAAATTTTTGGCTTGTCCGGTCCTTTAAAATCAGGTTAAAGGCCCACTGCAGCCAAAAATGGCGGAATCCATGGCGTTTTTGACTTCCAGGGACCATTAAACTCACTTTAAAGGTCTATTGAAGGCAAATTTTCCCATTTTCTCTGCTCTCTCCACTCACACACCCTCTCCTACCCCTACCTCTCCACTCCTTCCCCATTTCAGCTACGGCGACATGCTGCGGCTCAGGGCGCGAGATCTGGACACTTCCCCTCACTCGTCTCCCCTCTCCGCCGAGGGATGCTCGTTCTCATTCTCGGGAGCACCAGCCTCGGCTTCTCGTCATCAACAGGCCGGCAACGTGCGGTCGAAGAACTCGCTCGGGTCGGTGAGACACGTGGCAAATGGTCTCTGCTAGCTTGCCTGTTCTCGTATATACGCACTAATAGACATTTTTGCACCTTTTCTCGCACCGTCAGGGATCCTAAATGGTCTCTGCCAGCCTACCTGGGCCAGTAGAAGCACTAATAGACACCCTAACCATCTTCCAGGCACCTTAAGGAATCCTAAGTGGTCTCTGCTAGCCCGCCTGGTCGTATAGACGCACTAATAGACACTTTCGCACCTTTATAGCTCACTCCCCAAAAAATCTTGGTGCGCACTAATATACGTCAATTTCCGGCACGATTTCCAGTTTTAAAGGGAGCGTGACATGCCAATAACTTGATTTCCGCTTTTCAGAGCCCCCTCAAACTCGAGCACCAACGCCTCATCGATCCACGATGGCCTCTCCCAGCTTCTCCATGCTCCAAAGGTAGCTTTAAAGGGAGGGTGACACCTAAGTCCCATCGTTTTTAGTTGAATCGAGCGTTTTCTGATGAATTCCTGCGATTGGGGAGGAATCAGAGCCAGGATGGAGAGCTGACGGTGAGTGGGGGCAGGCTAGCAGGGATTCTTTGAAGAATTGGAGGGGCAGGCTAGCAGAGATTCTTTGAGGAATTGGAGGGGCAGGCTAGCAGAGATTCTTTGAGGAATTGGAGGGGCAGGCTAGCAGAGATTCTTTGAGGAATTGGAGGGGCAGGCTAGCAGAGATTTTTTGAGGAATTGGAGGGCAAGGTTAGCCGAGATACTTTGAGGAATTGGAGCGAGGGCAGGCTAGCAGGGACTCTTTGAGGAAATGGAGGGGCAGGCTAGCAGTGATTCTTTGAGGATTTGCAGAGAGGGGGCAAGCTAGCAGAGAAGATTTGTCATTTTCAGTCTATCACCCAAGAGTGCGAACGGCTTCGCGGCGAGCTCTCGCGAGCCCGGCTGAGCATCGACCGCCTCTCCCTTGATAATCGACAGCTGGACGACGCTCTTCAAGCCGTACGTTTCGAAAATGTCCTCAAAAATCTCTGCTAGCCTGCCAGCTTCAAATTTATCAATTTTTAGGAGCGACAAGCGCACGAAACCACCAGAAGCCAACTGCAGCTCCTCCAGGGCGAGCAGACGATCCTGTAACTACAAACTACAACCCAGGCTACAGACCACAAACAACGAAATTTCGTAGTATAGCCAAACACTACAGACTACAAACTACAACCCGGTCCGCCAAAGCCCTCTGGACGCTCCTCAAACGAACTAGCGTAATTTGGATAGTTCCGTACTGTTTTCCGTTTCTTTCCGCGTGTACACAGTTCCCCCCGCCATTACTGTATTTGTATTTTTGAGGTGTAGTTTGTACTCTTATCTCTCTCTCTCTCTCTCTCTCTCTCTCTCTCACTCTCTCCCTCACTCTCTCTGTCTCTCGCCTCTCCACTCTCTTGCCTGTCTCTGGGTCCTGACAGGAATTTGATGTTTCTACCGTAACCGTTGCATTTTTCCCCTAAATGTCAAAAATTACCATTTTTCAAACCAGAAACAATTTTTGTATGATATTTGGTACGTTGATCTCGCCGGCATTTTCTTATCCTTTGTGTTTTTGTCCTTAAAATAAATTGATTTGGAATTTTGGGAGCCTGCACATTAACAACCGGCTCAGAAAACTACAGGAGCATAAGTCACCCTAAGCCTAAGCCTAAACCTAAGCCAAGTCAAAGCCAAAGCCTAAGCCTAAGCCAAGTCAAAGCCAAAGCCTAAGCCTAAGCCGAAGCCGAAGCCTAAGCCTAAGCTACCCTAAGCCTAGCCGAAGCATAAGCAGCATAAGCCTAAGCAGCCTAAGCCTAAGTTTAAACCTAAGCTACCCTAAGCCTAAGCCTAAGCCTTAGCAGACATCGAGAGAAAGATTCTGTTTTTAGACATCGGCTTTCCCCGGTTTTTTCAGCTGACCAGCCTGCAATTTCGGATCAAATTTCAAGTCCGCTTTGTTCTTCCGGCATCTGCAATTCCGCAAATAAGCTCTGCTAGCTGGCCGCTCTAATTCCTCAAAGAATCTCGGCTAGCCTGCCCCTCCCGATCTGCAGATTTTAAGGCGGAAGCCTGCCCGAGGCCGCCAGCCGGGCTCCGGGTCCAAATTGGAGCGCCGATTTCCCGGGGGCTCCTATTTTGATATATAGCCTCGGGGCATTGGAGGGGACAGCCAGCCAGGGCATCTCGACGACGTCAGTCTCAGTTCTTAGCGGCTTTTCCCAGGGTTTCCGGTCCCTTTAACGGGATTGGGAAGTTGGAAAATGGCTTCTGATAATTTCCTTAGGGTCTCTGCTTGTTTGTCTGATTATAAGGCATTTTGAAGCCAAATTTGAATTCCCCAATGATCTCTGCTGGCCTGCATTGCCATTCAAAGATCTTGGAAAGCCAAATTAGACTTTCCTAATGGTCTCTGCTAGCTTGCCTCATCTTAAAGGTGCCGAGAAGCCAAATTTTAATCCCTCGTTGATCTCGGCTAGCCTGCCCTCCCTGAAGTCGTCGAAAATTCCTAATTTAGTCAAATTCTTCATCTCAAGAGTTCCGGAACGCTTTTTCGGGGGCGTGAGAGCCCCCAAAAATTTTCTCAGAAATTCCGGGACGCGCCCTAAAGGCTTAAAAAACGTCATTACACGCAAATTCGTACTATTCCTGTACTTTAGATCGTGATTATGTTATGGGTTTTGGCCTCGATGGTCCTTTAAAAAGCTTGAGTGGCTTTAAATGAGCTGAAGACCCGCTTTAGTGACTAGCGTCGAGCCGGAAACGCGCTAAGAATTAGATTTTCATCTAGTCTTTCTCTCCCTCTCTCTCTCACTCTCTCGCTCTCTCTCTCTCACTCTCCCTCTCTCTTTCTCTCTCTCGCTTTTTCCCCCTCTCTCTTTCCCTCAACTTGGTCAACATATTTTTGATGCAATTCTGAAGGTGGGTGGGCCAAATTGGGAGGGCCCGGCTTCTGAATTCTCAAGTTCTGGGGGCACATTTTGGCCTGCTTCCGGAAACTGGCTTTGTGTTGCCGTTTCGGAGGAGAGAGAGCGATAGAGAGAGAGTGAGAGAAAACTCGAGATATAACCAAATTTCCGTAAAACTTTCGCCTTGCTCTTCGGCTCCCAGAATGCCATTTACGCCCTCTTTTCCTCAAATATCTCTGCTAGCCTGCCTAGGCTTCCAAAATTCCTCAGGAATCTCTGCTAGCCTGCACTGCTCTGTTGGAAATCCCAAAACATCACTGCTAGCTGACCACCCGGTCCATTCCCCGAAAACGGACGAAAAACTCTCAAAAATGCCCCCTTTGCCGGGCGGGCCATGCATTTTCAAAGCCGTCATTTCGTCTTCGAAAATCTCGATGACCACAATAGTACTGGGCGGCAGGCTAGCAGGGATTCTTTGAGAAATTGGGGGGCAGGCTAGCCGAGATTCTTTGAGGAATTGGGGGGGGCAGGCTAGCAGAGATTCTTTGAGGAATTGGAGGGGCAGGCTAGCAGAGATTCTTTGAGGAATTGGGGGGGCAGGCTAGCAGAGATTTTTGCGGAATTTTCAGACACTCGTCACGAGACCCAAAAAGTCATTTCTCGGAACGTCAACTTGCTAACCCGGGGGGTATTCTCGTTTCAGCTTCCCATTGTCTCTTCCGCTTTTTCCTCCATTTTGGGTCTTGTTTCGACTTTTCGAGGGGTAATTGGGCGGCTTCTTCTGGTTGTCTCTCTCTCTCTCTCTCTCTCTCTCTCTCGAATTCTCTAGCCTCCAGTAATTCAATTATTCCGCTCTAACTATGGAAATCAATTGTTGGGCGGCCGGAAATTGGTTTTGAAGGGCCAAGGAAGGCACTTCCTTCCAATTCCTCAAAGAATCTCTGCCAGCCTGCCCCTCCATATCCTCGAAGAATCTCTGCTAGCCTACCATAACCCTTATTTTTGTTTATAACCCACCTCCACCGTCTTCTGCTGCGTCAGAAGCGTCAACCTGGCCCCTAAGACCCACATCCGGTACCATTCATTCTTTTTGGGCCCCACCCCATTTCGACTCTTCGAAAAGACTGAACAAAAATCCGCCTCGTCTTGGGGGCCCAGGACAATTATTTGTGGCCCCGGGGCCACCCCTAAAATGCTTTTTTGGGGATTTGACTAGGTGAAAATTGCCCGCCCCCACAGACTGGGTGGTCATACTGCCTTCAGTGGGCCTTTAAAAACAGATGGCTTGGCTTAGGCTTAGGCTTAGGCTTAGGCTTAGGCTTAGGCTTAGGCTTAGGCTTAGGCTTAGGCTTAGGCTTGGCTGAGGCTTAGGCTTAGCTTGGGCATAGGCTTAGGGTTAGGCTTCGCTTAGGCTTTCCAACCTCCATCACCTATCCATTCGACCATCCCACATATAACCTTTCATCCGTACCCCTAATTCGTGTCTAGCTTCTCCTTGGCGGCTCCTTCCTGAATTCCCAATTTTTATGGCTTTTTACGACACACTTCCGCCCACTTCACTCATCAAGGCGAAGAGGCGGCGCATCTTTCGTCATCAAAATTTACTACATTCACTAGTTTGCCCCAAATATATTGATTTTACGTATTTTTTACACATTGATAGAGAGGGGGAAATTTCCAGAGTCACTGTTAGCTTGCCCAAGGCTCTAGGGCTTCCTAGGTAATCTCTGCTAGCCTGCCTGACCTCCTCAAGAATCCCTGCTAGCTTGCCCTTGGCCAAGTTTTGTGTTATTCTGATTCCGTGACGCTTCTTTGTTGCCATCGCCGCGAAACCGGATCCATTTCCGGTGTCCTGCCCTCCAGGATCCCTTTTAAAGGCCCGTTAAAGGCAAGAGAGAGAGAGAGAGAGAGCGAGAGAGAGCGAGAACGTTGCAAAGTGGAGTGTAATGGAATCCTCTAATTTTGGGATCACCAGATCCACTGAAAAACTCTGAAATGCGAGCTAGATGTTCGTCGAGTTGAGGCTCAGCTTTGGAGCGTCAGAGACTGGCGACCAACTTTGGTTAGACTTTAGGCCTCTGATTTGGCCGCATTTGGCATTCGTCAAGCTTGGGCTTCGGCTTAGGCTTAGGTTAAGCTCAGGCTTCGGCTTAGGCTTAGGCTTACGTATAGGCTTGGGTAGCTTAGGTAGCTTAGCTTCTTCTGGATTCGTTTTTGCAAAACTACACTTTCCAGGTTCTTTGGACTTTCCAGAAACTTCTAGGCCCACTTTTTAAAGTTGCAGGAACCGCACAAAAAATTTATTGGCTAGGCCCGTTCGACCCAGAGCTGTGTGTACGCAACACACCAAATGGCGTGCGAAACATGCCTGCGGGGGGTATGAAATGGGGATCGGATTACAATATGCTAGAGAGAGAGAGAGAGCGAGAGAGAGCGAGAGAGAGTAGATAGAGGCTCATGCTCGTCATTTCTACGCCTCCTTCTCATTTCATAAAACATGGTGCTAATGGCTGAATTTTACGGGGGCTTTTTCGTATATGTACCACATTTTTGGGGTCGAGAGATTCCAAAATGGTCTCTGCTAGCCTGCCGATCCCCTGCATTCTTCACAGAATCTCTGCTAGCTCGCCCTACCTCTAATCCTCACAGCAAGCTAGCAAAGACCATTTAGGAACCAATTTTTGGCCTAGAATGCTTCCTAAATCTGGTGCCACCCACCTCCATTCATCTATGGCATCACCAGCCCCTTGGACTTCTTCCCGCCCTTTTGTTGCATCTTTGAGAAAATTCCCACAGGTTCATTCTTTCGATCTAGGGGCCAACGTAGTCCCAGAAATCGTAGAGTTTCACTTCCTACCGTAGCTCCAAATTTCCGCAAAGAATCTCGGCTAGCCGGCCCCTTCAATTCCTCAAACAATCACTGCTAGATTGCCCCTATTTCCCCCAAGAATCTCTGCTACCGTGCCCCCATTTTCAGGTAACCAGCAGAGACCGTTTGCGGAATGCTGTTCGAAAGCAGATCCCTCGCCCTGGTCATCGCCTGTCTATGGGCCGGCGCCGCAGCCCAGCTCTCCGATGATGCAGCCGTGTTCTCGTCAGATGCCGCGAAGCGGGCATTCGATCGGGATCTGATGAGTTTCGGCAAGCGGGCAGCACCGGTGCGGCTTTAATGGTCCTTTAAAGAGCATTAGGGACTGGATTTTGCCTTCAATGGTCCTTTAAAACTGGTGAAAATTCTGAAAAATCAAGCTGTTCAGATGGATCGCGAGCTGATGTCATTTGGAAAGCGTAGTGCACCCGGGGTAAGTAGTTTTTGCTATTTTTCTCTGCTCTCTGTGCCCTCTCTCTCTCTCTCTCTCTCTCTCTCTCTCTCTCTCTCTCGTTCTCTCTCTCGCTCTCTATCTCCCATTTTTCAGTTTGACCGCGAGATGATGGCGTTCGGGAAGCGGTCACCGGTAAGTTTCGCTCAGTAAGGGCAGGCTAGCAGAGATTTTTAAGGAAATTTCGGAACCTGGGCCTGCTAGCAGAAATCATTTAGGACGGCTACCTCGATTTTTGCTTCAATACTTAAACCCTGAAATTTGCCTTTTTTCAGATGGACCGCGACCTCATGGCCTTCGGTAAGCGATCACCGGTAAGTTTTTCCTCAAGAATCTCTGCTAGCTTGCCTAAATTTGCCTTCAATGGTCCTTTAAAATCGTAAAACTGTATTTTTCAGATGGACCGTGACCTGATGTCATTCGGGAAGCGGACACCGGTGAGATAATTCCCAAATTGTCTATGCGGCTAGCCTCTGATGTTGTCACCATCCCTTTAAGAAAGTGTCGCTCATTTTAAAGGGGTGGTGAGACCAGATTTTGCCAATATTCTGGCTTCACTGGTCCTTTAAATCCTAAAATCGAGATTTTCTAGATGATGGAACGGGACCTGATGGCATTCGGCAAGCGGGCCGTTGACGAGCGATGGAAGGTGAGGCAGACTAGCAAATCCTAAACCTAAGCTTAAACCAAGTCCAAGCGTAAGCTTAAGCCTAAGCCAAGCCTAAGCCAAGCCTAAGCCAAGCTTAAGCCAAGCCTAAGCCAAGCCTAAGCCAAGCCTAAGCCAAGCCTAAACCTAAGCCTAATAGGCAAGTTAGTTAACGTCAAGAATCTCCCCCTTTTCAGAAGGCCTTCGACCGTGATCTGATGTCGTTTGGTCGCAGATAAGCCTACTTCCGAAGCTTCTCTGCTCCTTTAAAAAATGTTCAAAAAATTCGACGCGGCGCGGACGGCAGATTACAAAATTCCGTTTTTCCTCCTCCCCCAATTCCACCACCCCCCACTTCAATGCTCCTTTAAAAATAAAATTTGTGAATAAAAATATTGCCTTAAGCGAGCTACAAAATACAGGATTTTGATGACGTAATTGGTTCGAAAATCCGGTATTAAGATGTCATAATAGACTGAGAAACTATATTTTCACGCAGTAATCGATTAGCTATCATCATTTTCATAGCGTAATTGATTATAACTGCTCCAAAAGACTATATTTTCATGCCGTAGTCGATTGAAAAGTCGGTATTATTTATACGGCGTATTTGGTTACAGTAGCCGCCTCAAAAAATACAAATATATCACAAGCCATCAAAAATAGACACAATCGAGGCATTAAAAATTACGAAGTGAAGGGATTTTGGGGTTTTTTGAGGCACTGTAGCCAAAGCTACAGTAACCCGAGAGAAAATACGACTCCTGACGGGGTTACGGTAGAATTCAGGTGCGGAGCGTCAACGCGGCGCATCGCGTAGTCGACCCGGCTGGAGACGTCGGTGAAGGAGGAGAAAACGAGCGGGCAGTTCTGGAAATGGCATCAAAAAAAGATCTGCTAGCCTGCCCCTCCAATGCCTCAAAAATCTCTGCCAGATTGCCCCCCCCCAATTCCACAAAGAAACTCTGCTAGCCTGCCCTTGCTAAAATTCCTCCAAGATTCCCTGCTAGCCTGCCCCTCCAATTCCGCAAAGAATCTCTGCTCGCTCACCTCTTTCTCTCCACCTCTACGAGGTATCTCGACCGTCCTGATACTTCTGTGGGTTACTGTACCGTCCCTAGGATGTATCCGTAGCGTCTCCCGCTCCGTTCTATCCTCCATTCCGTCTCGTATCCAGGTCTCAGGACGCCAGATTTCGACGCCGCGGGGTAGCTGGAAGAGTTTGGGGTTAGAGGTTGCAAACTACAAAATCATAGGCTATAGACAACGGGCCACAGACTATAGACTACAGACTACAGACTACAGACTATAGGCTACAGACTACAGACTATAGGCTACAGACTACAGACTATAGGCTACAGACCATAGGCTACAGGCTATAGGCTACAGGCTACAGATTACAGACTACAAAACCTACCGTAACCGTCGCCGGATTGTGCTGAAAGATAAGTCGCCCATCCTGCCACTCCTCCGACAGCTCCATGTAGATTTTCAGCGTTTCCGAGGAGAGTCGAGAGTGATGGAAGACGCGCAGATCTACCGTAACCTAAAAACAAAGATTTTCATGCCGTAATCGATTAGCGACCCGGTTTTTGATAGAGTAATCGATTGTTTCATGTCGGAATCGAATAGTCTATGTCTTTTAGAGGTCGTAATCCATTCCAAAACGAGAGTTTGGCGAGATTTACCCAACGTAATCGTTTGTAATTTCGACCTACCGTAACGTTGCCGGGAGGCGGTTGCGTAGCGTCATATTCAAGGAGGACGTCGCCCCATTCAACCTAAAAGCTTGGTTTAAGCATAGACATAGGCTTAGGCTTACCTTCTCTAACGGCCGCTGTATTACGATCGGCTCCTCGAGACGGAGGGCCGAGGCGAGGCCGGCCAGCACTGGGAGCAATACCAGCGTCATCCGAGATGCATTTTCTGAAAAAAATAAGGTACAGGCGAGCTAGCAGCGATTCTTTGAGGGAATGTCGAATTGAAACATGTCGTAATCCATTTTTCAACGCTCATTTTATCCAAAAATAGCGATTCTGGAATTCCTGAAAAATTCCGTGGCATTCCAAATTCCGGAACGACCCCCGGGAGGCCGTAAAATTTTGGGGAACGCGGGTTCTTCTGGAATTCCATTAGGAGGGGCAGAAAAAGGGTACGACTTCGAAGTCTCAGATCCAGGGGCAGGCTAGCAGGGGTTCTTTGAGAAATTGGTGAGACCAGCTGGGAGCTCGAGTTCGAAAACCCTCGAGGGGATGTTCATTAGAATTGCTTGAGGGTGGCCCCGCCGACATTCCAAAAACGAGCTAGAGAGAGAGCGAGAGAGAGAGAGAGAGAGTGAGGGGTGAGGGGGGGGGGGAGAGAGAGAACGACGGGTTAAAATTTGATTGAATCTCCTGGGCTGGCGGGTGGGGGGGGGGGACCCGTCGAGACGAACGCCTGCCTTTTTCTGAAGCCAAAAAAGGGAGGAGAAGAAGCAGTACGAAATGGCAACACTGCAAAATAGGCCATCTGGGACATGTTTCTAAAGGGTCTCTGCTAGCCTGCCAGGTGTCACAATCCCTTTAAAGTCAAAATAATCAAGGCAGGCAGATTTGCCTTCAATGGTCCTTTAAAAGTTCGTGGTCCTTGAGGACTGCTAGTTTTCGGCTTTCCAACCCCAGAAAACCCGACTTTAGACAGACCCCGGTAATTTCCGCTTCACTCCAGCCACCGCTCGCTTCCTGCTCCTCAATTTCCTAAAGTGTCTCTGCCAGCTGGCCGGTTGAGAGGGAAATTGGCAAGGGCCAATTCCTCAAAGAATCTTTGCTAGCTGCTCCTCGAATTTCTCATAGAATCCCTGATAGCCTGCGCTTCCAATTCCTCAAAGAATCTCTGCTAGCCTGCCCCCGGAAGGTCAAAGAATCCCGATACCCGGGTGTAGACCCGGGTTGGCCACCCCGTGTTCCTCGATTTCCGGTACTGGGCCCTGGAGCTGGAGCTGAGGGCCCCCAAATGCCCTTAGGGCCCGCCACAACTACGCACCTTTCCTATGGACACCCGGGAGAACGGAAGTATCGGGCCGGAATAGGGGTGTATGTCCTTGTGAAATCGGCCTTTTCCGGCCGCTAGCAAGTGGGCTGGAGTAGTTCCTGTGGTTATCTAGGGGAGGGTAGGCTAGCAGAGGTTCTTTAGGATAAAATCGAGGTCAGGGTAGCTAGCAGAGACCATTTAGGAGTACAATGTCGCCTGGGCAAGCTAGCAAACACCATTTGCCATCAAAATAAATTCCAGAAAGCTCGCAACAGCCTTCTTTGTGTCCGTCTCCTTCCGGAAATTCCCCCCTGTCCGCTAACCAAATTGTTCTTGCCCCCCCGGTGGGGGCGCCACAACTAATTTCCACCCGCCACTGGGCTGCGAACCCAATTTAGGGGTTTGGCTCGTGTAGCCGGTGGTGGTGTTTGGCGGAATTTATGATGGCAGTTATGGAAAATGGGCAATTTTCAGGGTTTAGCACTGATTTTTTTAGGCCAAACCCTCGTTTAAAGGAGTAGAGAAGTGACTCTAAAGACCATCGAAATCACTGGAGAACTCGCAGAGACCATTGAGGAACCGAATAAAAACACTTTAAAGGACCGTTGATAGCAAAACCATGGCCCCTGAGTAAAAGGACTCCCTTCTAAGGGACCATCGAAGTCCAGAAACCGCGAAAAACTACCTAAAAATACCGAAAAAATCATCTGAAAGGGCTAGTGACGAACGGGGGTGCTAGCAAAGACCATTTGGAGACAGAAAAATAGCTCTAAATGACCATTGAAGTCAAATCCATAGATCCAAAACATGTTCCAAGACGTCGCCGAGGCCATTTGAAATGGACTTTAGCCCACCCCTATTTCAACGCCTGGCCATGGTCAGCGCGTAAATAGGCCATTTCCGTAGTGGGTTAGGTGGAGAGAGAGAGAGAGAGAGAGAGAGAGAGAGAGAGAGAAATGTCGCCCGGAGGGGCACAAAAGACGGGTGGCTACTAAATACGGGGACAACGGAACCACGAGAAATGGGGTTAGGGCCCAAAAACGGGCACCACCACCCCTCAAATTGGATATGGCTGGGGGGAGATCGATGTGGGGGAGGTGGAGCTGGACAAATGGTCTCTGCTAGCATGCCCACTCTCCCAATTCTCGAAGAATCTCTGCTAGCCTGCCCCGCCAATGCCTCAAAGAATCTCTGCTATCCTGGCCTTCATACCGATTCCTCAAAGAACCTTCGCTAGCCTGCCCCTCCTCGGCAATCTAGCAGAGATCCTTGAGGAAGATATTCTTAGCTTTTCCCCCTAGAACGGAGGAAAGATGGAGCACCGCCTTGTTTGTCGGGGCCTTCAAGAAGGGCATTCCAGAAGATGGGTACTGGTGGGTGTGAAAGAAGAAGTGAAAAGAGGGGCAAGAAATGGAAGAAATGGAAAAGATGGATGGGATAGGGGAGAAGGAGAAGCCTGGAAGGCACATAAACCAACAGATGGGGTGGAGGAGATAATACTGAATAGGTTGGAGGGGAGGGGCAGGCCAGCAAAGATTCTTTGAGGAATTGGAGGGGCAGGCTAGCAGAGATTCTTTGAGGAATTGGAGGGGCAGGCTAGCAGAGATTCTTTGAGGAGGCCAAAAACCTAGTTTTTCAGAAGTTAAGGAAGTCAGCAGCTGCCGGGTGGTGTGTGGGTCGTCTCGTTTTGAAGTCATGACTTTTCCTAGGGGTCGCAGAGGTATCCCCCATTGTCCAGATTGTTCCCCAATGCATACGGGGGTGAGGGGGCAGCTACGCGTGTCGTGTCACTCACTACCTACAAACCCGCAAAACTCCATGAATCCGGGGTTAGATTAGGCCTAGGCCTGGGTTTAGGCTTAGGCTTGACTTACGCTTAGCCTTGGGCTTAGGTTAGGCTTTGGCTTAGGCTTAGGCTTAGGCTTAGGCTTAGGCTTAGGCTTAGGTTAGGCTTAGGCTTAGGCTTAGGCTTAGGCTTAGGCTTAGGCTTATTAGGCTAGGGCTTGGGCTTAGGCATAGGCTAGGGCTTGGGCTTAGGCTTGGGCTTAGGCTTGGGCTTAGGCTTAGGCTTGGGTTTAGGCTTAAGGCTTAGGCTTAGGCTTAGGCTAGGGCTTGGGCTTAGGCTTGGGCTTAGGCTTAGGCTTGGGTTTAGGCTTAAGCTTAGGCATTTGCCTAAAACCTGAATATCACCCAAAAGCGTCTAACGCAACGAAGGCATGGGTCCTTGCAAGTTTCTGTCGCCGGCTGTTTCGAGGTCCCCCGGGAATTGGGGGACACCTTTTTTGGGTCCGAGCCAGAGCCAGTGAAACCTAAAAAAATGGGAGAAGGGCCCTGAAACAGTTTAGAGGCGTTTTTCGGAACCCCAAGAAATTTTCAGGGCGGCCAGCGAGGCGTGTAGGTGACTGATGACCCCCGGGAGGGCACACAATGGAATTGGCCGGGGCTAAACGGGTTAGCAGTAATAGTAAGTGTATAGTGGGGCAGGCTAGCAGAGATACTTTGGGAAGCTTGTGAAGTGCTCAAAGAATCTCTGCTAGCCTGCCTGCTTTACAAAATTTGACCAAAAAACATTATAGTGGGGGTGGGATGGCGTGGGAATAACGATATAGCCTTGCGCGTCTCTCCATTCCACCTGAAATTTGAGCCCCCCGGTTTCACGGGCCCCACTCCATTTTGGGTTCAAATATCTAGAGGGTAAGGGCAGGCTAGCAGAGAGCATTTGTGGAGCTCTAATTTCAGGCTCACATTGCTAAGGGTTTAAGAAAAAATTTAAGGATCTCAGGATTTTTTTGAAGGGTTGACTCTTACCGCCCAAGCGCCCTGTACCTTTCCAGGCCTCTAGAGGCCGTTTGCGCATTTTCAACACGTCATTCAATTTGCATCTGAAAGAGCATGAAAAATAGTCCCTAGAAACGTTCGGTCCGAAGCCGCAGCGGACCTGGTGTAATTGCTACGATTTTTTGAAGTTTCACCTAGACACCCGTCAAGGGCCCTCATCTCAACACCCCCGTTTAAAGATGGGCATCTGAAATTGGACGCATTTTTATCAAGGCAGGCTAGCAGAGACCCTTTGCGGAGCCCCAAAATTTCTGTATTACTTTCGTAATCTGTTCCGCGAATTTGGCGAGGGTCAAATGGTGTTTATCTGGCCGGCAGGAGCATGACCTTGAGGCAGACCAGGGGCCCCCTTTTTGAGTCATCGTATTTGACGAAAGGCTCGTATGCAAATTCGACTCCTGGGGAAACCCGGGAAACGATTTAAAGGGCACAGAATACGTCTGGAGGTGTCTCGCGGAGCCTTACTGTAGCTATGAAGCTGTACATTATTTTATTGCTATTTTTCGCACCAGGAGTCGTCAGCTGGCCAATGTATTGGGGTGAGTCGGCAAGGAATCTTTGCTCGCCAGCCCTCCTATAACTATGAAAGCCGAAGCTGAAGCCTAAGCCTAAACCTAAGACTAAGCCTAAGCCTAAGTCGAAACCCAAGCCTGAACCTAAGCCTAAACCTAAGCATAAGCCTAAGCCTAGCCTTGAGCCAAAGCCTACGCCTAAGCCCAAGCTCCTCAAAGACCTCTGCTAGGTGGCCCTCCACCTCCAATGTGGGGCTGGGGTCGCCCTCCCCCACCTCCGATGTACTACTATCGACCGCCGCCTCCACCCTACTACTACCGTAGTCGTAAGTGATTTTTAGTGGAGTTTTTGGGGGCAGCTAGCAGAGATTCTTTGAGGAAATGTGTATTTTCAGCGGTCGGCAGCTTCTTGCAAGGGGCGCTGGTTGGTGGGATGCTCGGCGGGACGCTTGGATTGCTTGGAAAATGAAGGAAAAGCTATTGAATAAATATTTCATAAAAACTGAGACACGCGAAGAATCTCTGCTAGCCTGCCCAGGTGTTTTTCGGGATTTTCCAGACTTTCCGGGCTCGTTCTGGCTTTGGCGTCGGTGCCCTCTCCTCTCTCCCCTATCCCTCTATCTCCTCTCTTGTTGTGTAGTTTGTTCAGGGAGCTCAGGATAGAGGCTGCGAGTGATAACAAATTGCGGCATTAAAGTATATAATACAACGAGATACTGCTTTTTGATAAGTTTATGAAATATCGATTGATTTCAAGCAAATTTCCGCTTTGTTGCATCAAAACCGTCTTCTTAGGCGTTTTTCGGCTTTATCTTTGGGTTTTTCTGCTGGTTTTTTAATATTTTTATCAATTTTAGATGAGATCTCGACTGCTTGCCTATTTATTTAGGCTTTTATTATCGCGCAGAGACCTGAACCTGCAGCGGTTGCTTTCAAGATCGGCTCCACTCTATGTAAATCTACAAAAAAGTCGGCAGAGCCATGTTTATGGGTAAGTTTTTCAAGAGAAACTGATTTAAATTAGATAAGAAATACTCTTGCTACAGTAATTTAGCTCACTGAATGCGTTACATTACGTTGAATTCCGTTACAATACGTAATTACGGTGCACCGTACAGTTACGTACTCTTCCGTTGCAGTACCCTGACTGTCTGCCCTATCTACGCCCTCTCACACGATCTCGTGCCCTCCTCCGTCGTTGAGGTGTCATTCGAAGTGTCGCGGAGTGGAAGTGAGTTAGGCTTAGGTTTAGGGTTAGGCTTGGGCTTAGGTTTGGGCTTAGGCTCAGACTTATTAGGCTTGGTCATCGACTAACCGTTTTTTTAGAACCTGTCGAAATTGTCAAGCGCCTCCTCCGACTCGCTACCGACTTCCGGTTAGCGCTAGAGACCGCGATTTTGGGTCGGAATGATTTGTTCAACATTTTCGGAGCCGAGCCTGTCGAGCAGATCAGAATTAAGGTAACTAGGGCCTGAGGCGAGATTCCTCAAGAATCTCTGCTAGCCTGCCCAACCAAACCACCCCTTAGAAACCCGCCAATTCCTCAAAGATCTCTGCCACTCTCATTTTCCAGAAAATCGATCAATCCACCGCTCCGGCTCGCCCGTCCTCGGTTCGCCTGCACCCAATTGCATCGCCTAATCGATTGGAGAATCCGGAAATTGCCCTGGACGCGGAGTTGGAGCAGCACTTTTCGAGGCCGAGGTGAGTTCGGGGTTTTAAAGGGACGGCGACAGCTAAAAATCGACAAAATTTGGCCTCTAAATGTCATTCAGGGTAAAATCTATGGAATTCTGGCTTGAGTGAACCTTTAAAAGATTCAATTCTAGATTGTACTACAAAGGGGACGTCATATCCATATCACGATGTGATCGATTCGACAATGGGATTCGGCTCTACTCTTTTAAGGTGAGAGAGAGAGAGAGAGAGAGTGAGAGAGTGAGAGAGAGAGAGAGAGCGTGAGAGTCCCCGCTTTTCAGGTTGAAACAACCATTTCCCCGAGTCTAATCGATCGCCAATGCTCTGTCTACCAATCCTCATCCATTAAAGGGATGGTACCGTACGGTAGTCAGGTTACGGTAAGCCAAAAAATATTTTCCCTCACCACCTTAAGGCCCCCGAACTTCCCGGAAACCTCGAAATCGCAGTCGAGAAGGCCGCTTCTATTCTACAAGCTAATGACAGGGTAGGCAGGCTAGCAGAGATTCTTTGAGGAGTTGGAGCCGAGTTTATTGATTATTTTAGTTATCTGGAGGGCCTATCTCTCTGCTCATCTGTGGACCGGCCGGAAGCGGAAAGCGGCTGGTGGCCAGAGGGATAAGCTCGAGGACGCATCGAAATCTGGTGTTTGGCGATGCGTATGACTTATGGAATGAAGCGGCCACGCATACAGAGCAGCGAATAAAGCATCTGGTTACGCGAGGTAAATGGTCTCTGTGAGCCTGCCTCCCTTGTCTAATTTCCTCCCCTCCATTTCCTCCAGAATCTCTGCTAGCCTGCCCTCTTTTTCAGCCCAATCCATCTCCCCCTCCCTCCTCGTCATCTCGAATTGTGACGTACTAGCTGTCGATGGCCAGACATCCGCATCTGATGACCGTATCCTCGGCCTCTTGGCCTCAGAAATTAGCCGCCTCACCAACGTGGCAATCCTCTTTACGTGCCACACGAAAAAGGTACGATTTTTACCTCAACTCTTCAAAGAATCCTTGCTAGATTGCCTCCGTCAGCCCTCAAATCCGGAGCACTGTGCTGTACACGGTGGTGCTGGAGCCGATGTCGGAAATGCATAGGAAGGAGTTCTTTGCCAAGAATATGCCAAGATTGACTTGCCCTGAGAAAGCGGCAGCATCGACTACGGTAGGTGTAGATTTTGTCTTCAATGGCCCTTTAAAGCACATTTTCTAGGCGTTACCACCACTTTAAAATTCGTTTTTAGGGCTTCGTCGTTGCCGAGCTGAACGCGTTGACCTACGATGCGCGGTGTCGAGCGGCTGAGGAGGGGAGGTAGGCTAGCAGTGATTCTTTGAGGAATTGGGGATCAGGCCAGGCTAGCAGAGATCATTTCGGAACGCTTCAGGACCTCTCCCAGTTGGCCAGACGTCGAATGGGCCATCGACAAGCGAAATTCGAGCTTTGCCGACGCGATTGGAGCACCGAAAGTGAGTTTTTGTGTTTTAAAGGGATGGTGACGCCTATTTTCACCCTGGAATCTAAAAAATGCGATTGTTAGATCCCTACCGTAGCCTGGGAGGACGTGGGAGGACTCGACGAGGCCAAGCAGCTCATCAGGGAGAGTCTGGACAACAACTTAAGAGCTACGGGAGGGCTGCGGAGGAGTGGGATTATTCTGTATGGACCGCCGGGATGCGGAAAGACGCTTCTCGCGAAAGGTTAGTGCTTGGGCTTAGGCTTAGGCTTCGCTTAGACTTAGGCTTAGGCTTCGGCTTGGGTTTAGGCTTGACAATCGTTTCATATTTATTCCGATCCTTTACGGTAATTCCACTGTCGTAGATTGTAGCATGTGGATTCGGCGAGCCCTAAAAATTCCAAAATTTTCTCTGCTAGCCCGCCCGGACTTACAGCAGTGCCCTTTTTCTCCTGGAGTGTCCGGAAGAGACGTCAGACGCGAGGATCTCGGCGATTTGGTCCTCGACCCTGCTGAAGTCGTCGGCGGTCTGAGCGTTGGCTTGGGCCTGGGTTTTCAGGGCGTCAAACTAGGAGGAATTGATTAGGCAATGAAATTGATCAATTACGTTCTCTAAGTATTCAATTACGCGATGAAATACCTGCTCCAACTTCTCGTCCAAATTCAAGTTAGCATTAGCCCAAATCTCGGAAGCCTGCTCGATCAGCGCCTTTGAAGCGTCGGCCATTTGGTATTCCGACACCTCGTTGCTGACCTAAAAAGGACAGACTAGCAGAGATTATTTGGAAAATGGAGGGTCAACTAGCAAAGACCCTCTAGGAATTATTCGTTCCTCACCTGGTTGACCAGCTCGCTGATGTTGCGCACGTTTTCGTTCAGATAGGAGCGGATGGCTTGCTAAAAAACAGACATTAAGCCTAAGGCTAAGCCCAAGCCTAAGCCCAAGCTAAGTGTAAGCCAAGCCTACCTGATCCGAGGCATCTTGCGAAGCCAAAAAGTTTCTGATCAGCTCCTCATTTTGGAGCTGAGTGTTGCTCGACGAGAGTTGAGCAAGAAGGTCTTGCAGCGGGCTTCCGGCCGGCTTCAGGGGGACATACTAGCAGAGATTCTTTGCGTAATTTGACGCTTACCTGAGCCGTTATCCCAATAAATAAGAAACTACAGGAATAGAGAAATTTTTGAAGCATTTTTGGGGGCGAAATGGGAACTTTGTGACAATTTCAAATCGAAATTTGGGAAGCGGAAGCGCTGGGGGGTTAAGCCCCCATTATTTTCGGATTAGCGCCGAGGTAGGCGTGACCAAAAAGTGGTTAAATGTAGCTAGAATGCTCTACAAACTACAAATTCGAATTCCGGAGGTAAAACTGGCCCAAAACCCTAGGAAAAACGTTCAAAAAAATTTCAGCCGTCGCCACCGAGTACAAGATCGCCTTCCTCTCCGTCAAGGGCCCTGAGCTGCTCAACAAGTACGTCGGGCAGAGCGAGGAGAACCTCAGAAACGGTCAGCTAGCAGGGATTCTTTGAGGAATTTGAGGGCAAGTGCAAACCCTAATTTTCAGTGTTCGAACGCGCGCGCGCCGCCGCTCCGTGCGTCATCTTCTTCGACGAGCTCGACTCGCTGGCGCCGAATCGAGGGCGAGCCGGGGATTCTGGAGGGGTGATGGATCGGGTGGTCTCGCAGTTATTGGCAGAATTGGATGCGTTACACCACGCTACGAATAAGGTAGGAAAGAGGGTCTTTGCTAGCCTGCCCCTCACGCGAATTCCACAAAAAATCCCTGCTACAATGCCCTTCTTTTCCACAAAGTCTCTGCTAGCCTCCCCTATCTAATTCCTCAAAAAAATCTCTGCTAGCCTGCCCTTCCCTTCATTTTCTCAAAAATCTCTGCTAGTTAGCCTCCAATTCTTCCAGGTCTTTGTCATGGCAGCCACGAATCGTGCCGACCTGCTCGACCCCTCCCTCCGCACCCCCGGCCGCTTCGACAAGGCCATCAACGTGCGCGTCGGAAATGACGCCATCTCCAGGGCGCACATCTTGCGCGCGGTGGCGCGCAAGACGCCGCTTGCGCGTGACGTCAAGTTGGACGAAATTGTGAGTACTTCTTGGTTAAAAATGCATGAAAAATGACCAAAAAAGATAAAAATTTTCGAATTTTCAAAAGTTTACATATTTTTAGAACCTTTTAGCAATCAAAAACTACTAAAAATATTATCAAAATACGTAATCGATCATCAAGAACGGGTATAGGTGAAAAAATAGAAAGTGGGTCTCCCCGATAATAGTCCAGAACCTGAAATTCCAGGCCCGGGTTTGCCCGGACGAGATGTCGGGCGCCGAGCTGTACTCGGTGATTTCGAACGCGACGATGAGCGCGCTGCGCGAGGCGGTTTTTGCGATACAGCGTGGTAAATTTATAATTATACGTAAAATGGGCTTTAAATTACAATCTTTAAATTTTATTTTATTTAATTTATTTTAATTATTAATTTATTAATTTATTTAAACTTTATAAAGTCCTTACTTTAAAATTTTCAAATTTAGGTGAAGCCACCGAGGAAAACGCCAATGTTCTCGTCCACCGACGGCACCTCCTCGAGGCCGTCGAGTACGTTAGGGTCCAAAAAACGGCTACAGTATAAAGATTACGATAAAGAATCGCTGCTAGGTGGCCTTGTGATTTTTAAACTATACAAAACTGACAAAAACACAGTTGCTAAGTAAAATACCTTTTAAAAACATCAGTAACCGCTTAAAAATAAACTAAATACATCAAAATCAGACATAGTTTTTAAAAGAAGTTTCTTTTCTTTCTATGTTGCTGAGAATGATTTAGTTTTATTAGAATTCCACAAAGATTTTTGCTGCGCTGCCGTTTCCCGCCTCGCCTCGACTCGCCCTTCCCCTGTTCTTTCTGACAGCCTGACCCCTATCCCGCGCCCTACCCCTCGTAGCCGGCTCTTCAAAAAGAGCCGGCCGCTCGAACCCCCATTTCCCTTTTCGGACTTTTGTAAAAGCAAGTCTGCGGCTTATCGCCATTTTCCAGTTTTTTTTCGCTTACTATACCTTCCCGCCCAATCTTTCACTCGTTTTCAAACTTACTGCTTGAAGCTTTCCTCTTTCTAGCAGTTATTTGGGATCTTGAAACCATTTTTTAAGATACCCCTATGCAATATCTCCTTTGTTTCCTTGCTAGCCTTACTCTTACTTACTCTTTACTCGATAGATGTTCAAGGGCCTTTGCGACGCGTTCTTCTACTTTTCTTGCAGTTTTTTTTAGGCGAGAAACATCTTTTTTGAAGATATTTCTATTTAATCCCCTCCCCCCTTGCGCGATTTTAGATTAGTGGCTCCTAGACTTCCAAAAGATTCATTCAAGTTTTTCCGGATTGCTTTTGATTTTTAGGGTTTGAAGGGATTTTCAATTTTTCTCGATTCAGGCTCTTCCTCTAACCCTCGCGAGCCTTGCAAGGTCGTAACTAGGCTTTTGTGCTTGTTTTCATTAGCTTGTCAGCCCTCTCTCTTCGCAAGCATGCCTTCTTCTTTAAAAACCCGGTGAGCTTGATCTGCTTGGTCTTGAATATAGGGCGTCTGTCTTTGATCTTCTTGCCATTATTTCCATTTCCTAGCATCCCTCTCTCGTATGCATGTCCTCTTTATTCAGAACCACATCCCGATGAGCTTGATATGCCTGGTGGGGATCCCGGCATCCGGCAAAACCACTCTGGCCCAACGCCTCGCTTCTGCCCTCCCTCAATTCCGCGTCTTTGAGTTTGATGAGCACACGCCCGGGCCCAGCTACCATCAATTTCGCAAGGAGCGCCTCGCAGAAGTGGAGGCGCATCTCCAATCTTCGGCTCGCTCTTCCGAAGCCCTTCTCATCGATGACACCTGTCATCTACAAAGTATGCGGCGCCCGTACGCACGATTGGCACGCCGATTCGCGCTTCGATTCGCCGAAATCTACGTCGAATGCGATTTGGCGACGGCGTTGGCTAGGAATTCGAGGCGCCAAAGTGTCGGTCGATTAGAGGAAGCGACGATTCAACGGGTCCACGAGAGGCTCGAGATTCCGGAGGACGCATTTCGATTCACTGGCATCAATTTCGAAGATTTGCTGGCATTTTTGAGACGGCTGGAGTCGAAAGAGCCACCTTTGAGGCCGAAATCTACTTCCGCCTCTGTTTCGAGCCCGGGCCCCGATTTCCCGCTTGATGTACTGTCGCGAAACGCCGTAGCCGAGTTGAAGCGGCAGATGCCCAACTCGGACGGCCGTTTGCTGAGCCGCATCCGGCGCGAGTTTGTGAATGAGAATCGGCATTGGCCGTGCCCGGATTTGGCTAGTGTTTCATCTCTTTTGCGGGCTCGCTACGAATCGGCTTTAGGCAAGGGCGATTGATTAGGCTTGATTTTTGAGCTTCTTTTTGCATGTATCCCCTCTTTTTCCAACTTTTAAACTTTGCGGGTACATTTTTACTGAGGGTTTCCTTCATCAATCTTGGGTTTAGAACTTTATGCGCTTTCTACCTTTTGAAGCGTTTTTTTTTTCCTCGTTTTCCCATATTTGTGCAGATAAATAATTGAAAATTCTTTCTTTTATAGAGAAGCGGAATGAACGCCGACGAGCTCTTCAACATAGAAGGCGTGCCCTGCTACGTCGTGTTCACCGCCGACGGGCCCATCGAAGGGGGCGACCCCGATGCGTACTTCCAGCGGCGCAGCAGCGGGATAATAGGTAATTTTTTTATTTTGCTTTTTTACTTTGTTTTTTTTAGCCGACATCCACGACGCGCTCGAGGAGGCCAAGGAGAACCTGGTCGCCCACAACACCTCGGCCAACGTCATCGAGCTGGTAACTTATCTTTTGGGTAAATATTGTCTTGTTTTTCAGGAAATCGTCGACAAGGAGCCGGAGGCCGACAAGGAGGCCGAGGAGCTGCCGCTGCTGGAGCGCACGATGAACGAGGAGGTCGAAGCGGAAGCAGGAGGGCTGAGCGGCATCGCAAAGCAGATGGCGCAGCTCTCGATGTTTGGCAACGAGCCGAAGCGTGTCCGCCGCTCGCAGATGGAGTTCCAGGCGATGGTCAAGGAGAAGGAGGCAAAAGAAGAAAGTACGTTTTTGTTCCTAAATTTAACTTTTTTTTGCAGAGAAAACGGAGGACCGCGGCAACACCTACAATCTGCGCCCACGCAGCAGCTCCAACACGCGCGCCGGCTCCTCCTCGCAGCAGCAAAGCCAAATTGTGAGGAATTTTTTTGCGTTGATAATGCAAAAGACCCATTTTTGTATTTTAAAAAATATTTATTTTTAGCCAACTCCCCGCGGCCGCTCTCGCTCCATCTCGCAGACGCGCCTCGCCCAGCCCCGTGCTCCATCCATCGAAGGGCGTCGCCAGCTGCGTCAGCCGTCTCCAGTGCCCCGCCGCGCCCCATCGCCTTCCATCGCCAGCACGCAGTCAACATCGCGACGTTCGGCTTCTCCGGCTTCTCGTCGCGCTCCATCACCTGCTCCAGTCGTTCGCCGGGCGCCGTCTCCTGCTCCTCTCGCTCGTCGGGCCCCGTCTCCAGCGCCGCTTGCCCGAGGTCGGGCACCATCTCCAGCCGCACAGCGCCGCGCCCCATCGCCGGCCGCCCGTCCAGTCAAGCCTGTGGTAAGGATTTTCATTTAACCTTTGAGAACAACTTTTTTTTAGGTCGGGAAGCGCGTGCCAGGGCCATCTACCACTGCTGCCGGGCCCTCGGGAAGCCGTCAAGTTATCGTCGAGCGCCAATCGCGCCCTCTTCTGCCAAAACGTCTTGCCGGTAATTTTTTAAATTTTGAGTTCTTGGGAGTTCCGCCTCCGATTCTAAGGAACCAAAATTTTGCTTTTTTCATTTATTTAATGTCATTTTTCATATCTGTTTTAGGCCCGCCTGCTGCCCGCCCGGTAGCCGCCGTTGCCGTTGCAGCCGGTGGCAGCGCTCCGGTGGCCCGTCAAGTTCGCGTCCCGCTTCGCCGTTCCGTGCAAGTCGCCCCCACGCGCCCCGCCCAGCCCATCCAGCAAGCCGCCGCGGCCCGATCGTCGTACCCGCCGCCCGAAGGCGCCGGCACCAAGCCCGTCGCGTCGGCCGACACCACGCCCCGCTCGGTAAACTTTTTTCTCATATTTTTTTGACCGATTTTTTTCAGATCAGCAGCTGGGTCGAGCGCCTCTCGCAGCCCAAGTTGACGCCGGCCGTCATCGCAGCCCGGGAGCGCCGCCGAACCGCTGATGTTGCTGGGCCCTCACGGTATACTTTTTATTCATATCTTCGGTGCTTTCGTTACAAAAAAAAGGCAAAAATGCATGTTTCGACCAAAATGGCAAGTGTTTTTCTGAATTTTCTAACAGAATTTTGCATTATGAAAAATGGAGCAAAATTTTATAGAAAGAAATTATGTTTTTATGAAAATTTCCAATCCTTTCGCAATCAATAGAAAATAAAATTGATTTTTAGTTCGTTTTGACTTGAAAAACCGTTAAAACTACCAAACTATTAAAATGTGTTTTGCTTTTGTTCTAGCAATACTATTGATCTATATCTTTTTTTTCTAGCGCCACTACTACTGCCACCGGGGCCGCGCCACGCATCGGGATGCGCGCTGGTGCCGCGCCCGCCCGGAAGCCATCGACGACGACTACTCGAGCCACCGGTGCTGCTGCGGCTCAGCCGCCGGCCCGCGAGGAGCCCAAGGAGGACAAGGACGAGACGAAGGAGGACGACGACACCGCCCAGCAAAAATAAGCGAACTTTTCCCCCAGTTTCGGGTAGTGTGATTTGTATGTAGCCCCTTGTCTCCCTGTTGACCTCGGTGATTATCCCCCTTCTCCCTATTTCCGCTTTTCCCCCCTAGTTCTCCTCTGTATGTTCATGTGCGTGTTTTTGAATTGTAAGATGCGGCCTCCCCCATTTCCCGTCTTTCTCTGTAATTCCCCCAAAATGCCCATCTGTCCGTCGCCCATGTTGTATTCGATATGTTATAGCTACGTTACGGGTCATCGGGCTCGCCCTTGTGACACACGCTCTTTGATTAGTAGATGCTCAATAAACGTTTACGACTGCAAGAAAGTGATGGCCGGAAAATGCGCATACAGAAACGACAGTTCTTTCAGGCTTTTGGATGGAAACAAATTTTTAAAGTCAAACAAATTTAGAAAGTTTTGCTACTTTTTTGCCGATGTCAAGTTTTCCTTATTGGCTTTACGTTGAGGCGGTGGTCCTTGTTGCGGTTTTAGGCTTCTCTTTGCGAACAAATCTTTAGAAAGTCTGAAAACTAACTTTAGAAGGATTTTACTGCTTTTTCCCCCGAGTTCAAATTTGCCTTGTTGGCTTTACGACGGTTGTCTTCCGCTTTTGGATCGGAACAATTTTTTAGAAAGTCGCAAAAAAGGCCAAATTGAAAAAGATTTGAATACGTTTGCCGATTTTACCATTTTGCTTATAGTTTTTGTTGATTTTCGGTTGATAAAACTTGTTACGAAGTCATCCTCTTTATGAGGGCAAAGAATGGCTAGATTCCCTGAAATTTCAAGTTGGATTATTAGCGAAATAGTAGTGCAGGAACCTAGAATAATTTGCTTGTTCGCGTCGCTCTCTCTCTTTCTCAAATCCTAAATTTTGCAGTTGGACCGCTTGATCGAGGCTTTTGGGCTCGCGCCCTGACTGGTGTAGTGTGTCTGTCTGTGATCCGGTTACTCGATGTTTTCGGGGGCAGCTCTTCGTTTTCTTACCTTGGAAACACGGGATTCTTGCCCATTTTAGCCCGAAAGTGCTTTGGTTTATAGTGATTTTAGTTGAAAAAGAGGCGCGAGTGTTTGAATGCGTTTTCTTGCCCCTGCAAAGCTGAAAAACTTGAAAAGCGGCTTTTTTGCCATTTTAAAGAATTATTTCCGACTTCTAGATCTGAAATCCCTCTCTTTTTTGTCGTCGCTCGTTCTTTCCATTTTTCGTATAGATTCGAAGACTTCAAATTAATCCCCTAATTTTCAGATGTTCGCCCGGGCAGCACGACTCGTCCAGCAGGCGGCCGCCCTCCCGAAACGGCCACTCCTCGACCTGGCCAACAAGCAGCACGGCCACCTGCGGAATTCAAAATTCCTTTGCTACGAGGCGCAACGACCGCTCGTGTTTGAGTAAGCATCTAGTTTTTTTGGCAATTTTCGCCTTTTGCAGCGTCGCGACAACCGAGGAATTCGAGGAGCACGTGCTGCGATCGACGGTACATTTTTGGGATTCAGGAACACGAGGGTTTTTGTTGCAAGAAAACAGAAATCTGCTTCTGGTTGTGAGGTTGAACATCTTCGTCAATTTTCAGTCGCAAACGGGTCATTTGTGCCATTTTCTTTCTAGGACATCGTTTTCTAAAACCTTTTGCTTTAGCGCACGTAGTTTTTTTGCGAAGGAAAACTGAAATCCGCTTTTTACTGCAAAATTCGACATTTACATCAAGTTTCTATGGAAAAGGAGCTACTGATGCCATTTTCTTTCGCCAAAATCGGTTTTTAAAACACTAACTTGTTTAGAGCGCGTAGTTTTTGCTGGGAAGAACTGAAATCTGCTTATTTTTGTGCAAAAAAGTGCGTTTTCGTGGAATTTCCATTCAAAACGAGCTTTTTCGCATTTTTTTATAACTAAAAATTGTTTTTCTTACTTTTAAGATATAGATGACCAGAATCGCTAAATTTAAGTGATTTCCTCTTTTCCAGATCCCCGTCATCGTCGATTTCCACGCCGACTGGTGCGGCCCGTGCAAAATGCTGGGCCCGCGATTGGAGCAGAAGGTTTTTTCTTTTTGTTCTGGCTTCTAAGATTCATTTGTTAGGTGCAAGGCCGCGAGGGCGCCGTCCTGATGGCCAAGGTCAACATCGACGAGGCCGGAGACTTGGCTGACGAATTTCGGGTATGAAAATTCAGGATTTCCGTCTATTTTCTGTTTTCCAGGTCAGCGCCGTGCCTACTGTCATCGGGTTCCAGAACGGGGAAGTCGTCGCCGAGTTTCAGGTAAATTGTTGGGTTTTTTGTAGGTCAAAGAATGGCTGCTAGATTGCCAAAATCGATTGAGTCTTCCTTTTCGTTCAAAAGATCTGTGCTAGTTTACCGATTTCGCTCTCTCTGTTAAATTGGAAATTTACTAACTATTAAATGTCTAATGGCCTGTTTTGCTATGTAAATCAAATTAATTTATTTCCCTAGTTGGCGAGGGATCTTCGCTAGCGTGCCTTTTTAAAAACGATTTATTTAGCCTTTTTGGCGCAAAGAAACTTTGCTAGCTGCCCTAGTTTTCTGCCTAAATTGAAATAATTTTTTGCGGTTTGTGGACTCGAGTAGGCCTTTCTAGCTTGCCTTTGTTAAATAGCTTTATATTAGCTTTTTTAGCTCAAAGGATCGTTGCTAGCTTGCCTATTTTGCTTCCTAAGCTTCATTTACAATGTCGGAATTAAAATAACATATATATATATCACTTTTTTGCAGGGCATGATCGACGACGACCAAATCGACGAGTTCCTCGACCAGGTCGCCGACGTGCCCGCCGCCGAACAATAGAAAATCAGGCCATAGAATATCCATATCTCCATGTACTTGTTATTGTTTTTGTGTGTCTCCATCTCTTGTTATCCCCCCGGCCATTTTCTTTCGATAGAACATTTTGTGATGATTTTAGCGGTATCTCGATTGTGTTTTTAGCATTTTTCGTGCCTAGTCTCGATCGATGCGAATAAAGTTATTTGAGCACACGGGAAATCACAAATCATTTGGGCGTGGACAGCTGGAATTGCGATATTGTTGAATAAACTGAATTCTTCATCATCGTCGTTTTTTCAGTTATTTTTGCCAAGCCGCGTCTGGCTCGAGTCCCGCTGTTGCGCCAAGATTTTCGAGCGATAGGCGGTGGTGCGCTGCGCGCGGAATTGCGCTGAAAGTGAGGTTTTTGTCGTTTTTTTGGGGAAATATGTTTGGTCATGGGTTTTGAAGGCTAAATGTAGGTGTCGTAATCGATTAACCGCGGAAGTTCTCGTTTTTCAGACTATTTTCATGTCGGAATGGGTTAAGCGCTACGCAATTTCTCTTTTATGGAGCTTTTGAAGACTAAAATTACGTGTCTTAATCGATTAGGGGTATAAATTTTTGCATTTCAGCCCTTTTTGAGACTATTTTCGTGTCATAACGGCAGGGCAATCAAAATATTGGGTTTTCTAAGTCTAGGGTTGTTAACTTAACGTCATAATCGGTTAAGCGCATCGAAAATACATTTTCAAGGACCTTTGAGGGCCTAAATTAGGTGTCGTAATCGCATAGACGTGATCAAAATTGTGTTCTAGCTTACCTTGTTCCCTAGTTCCGGCCAGCGAGCCGCCCGCAATGTTATTGGCGTTGGCGCGCTGCTTATTTCGTAGGCCTAGCGAGGAGAAGCCGGACACGAGCGAAGAGGTTTCAGGCTAAAAATATAGATTTAAAAACTTAAATTAAGTGGCGTATAGGTTTTAAGCTTTTTAAATAAATATAGCTTTATTAACTTTTTAATTTGTAAAATTTTTTAACCGAATTTTTGTAACGTTTTTAATTTTTTCAATTTTTGTAGAACTGACCATCTCGTCCTCTTCCGGGACGGGGCTCCCCCGACCTTCTAGGGAGTACTGCTCCAAGTAGCGCTGCACGGCGTCGAAGGCGTCTAAAAATGGGTTTTAGCGCTTCCTAAATGGTCCCTGCTAGCCTGCCTAATCCCTTAAATGCCTCAAAGAATCTCTGCTAGCCTGCCCCTCCAATTCCTCAAAGAATCTCTGCTAGCCTGCCCCTCCAGTTCCCCAAAGAATCTCTGCTAGCCTGCCCCTCCAATTCCCCAAAGAATCTCTGCTAGCCTGCCCCTCCAATTCCTCATGGATCCCTGCTAGCCTGCCCCTCCAATTCCCCAAAGAAGCTCAGCTAGCTGGCCCTCAATTTTCCTAAGAATTCCCTAAAAATCTCCGCTATCTTACCGCTCAATCGCTCCAGCTGTTCCCCGAGTGATTCACTCTCTCCTGGGGGTTCAACCGCAGTCGCGAGTAGATCTTCAACAGATACGGAGAGACAGCCCTTGTTTTGTGATCGGATCAACTCGATGCTTTTCTTGCATTTGTTAGAGAGTAGATCAACTGCTCGGGCTAGGCCGCTGAAAATGTTTTACTTCAATGGCCCTTCAAAATTATTTTTTTTGATGGTTTTAAAGTTTTTTTAAGCTTTTTCTAACCTCATCTCCTTGGCGTCACTTTTACGGCTCTTTTCAGTCAGCCGGTTGATGTCCTTGACGACACCACGCGAGTACTCGGCCAACACCTTCTGCGATGCGGATGCTGTTGAGGCGCCCTCGTAGGCCAGCGACTCGTCGGACTTGTTGCGCGAGAGGGAGGTGCCCGGGGAATTCGACTGGAAAGGTGGGTTTTTAATTGTTTGTAACTTGCTCTCTCTCTCGCACTCTCTCTCTCCCTCACTCTCCATCTCTCTCGCTTACCCTTTTCACTGGCATCTTCCCAGCTCCCACATGAAATGACATAGATCGATTCGACGTGAAGTCGTCGGCCCTGAAAAAGCGTTTTTTTTGCAGCTTTGTAGTCTGAATTTTCAGGACTTTTGAGTACAAAATACAAAATTACAAGATACAGTACGACACGACTTTGGCTTAACAAACCCCGAAGCATCATCCTGACTCGAGCCCGTTTCGGATAGGCTTGACGTGCTAGAGAACCGTAGTTTAATGAATTTTTTGGTTTCCTCAAAGAATCTCTGCTAGCCTGCCCTTGCCTTGATTAAGGTCTAGGCTTTCCTGCTCATTTTTAAAACGATGCGACTGGATTTTTCTTGCTGTCTCGATCCCTTTAGAACAAATTTTTCCAGGTTTTGAAGCGGCTAGGACAAGATGAAGCTCCACAACTCCGACCAGTTCAAGGAGGCGAAACGAGGAGGATGAGGCTGCCGGACGCGCCAACTCGCCGATTAGCGCACGATCAGGAGCTGAGGAATCGATAAGCGCCGGTATTTTGCTGGGGGTACGGTATTTGGGGTAATTTTTAAAAATCAGGTTCTGCGCGCTATTTGAGGGAAAATTCGAAATTTATTTGATATGAAAATTTTAAATTAATTTAACCAATCGATACCTCTGCTTTTGCTGCTGTTGCGCCTTTTTCGCTTCCTGCACGGCGCGCATCGGGTTGTAGTCCTTGCGCCGCAGCCACGCGTTCATCTCCTGCTCGCGTTGGGCGACGACGTGGGGCTAAAAATTAAAATTACTTAAGTCGGAAATTGACTAACTAAACTTAATAAAAAATAAAATGAAAAATTATCTAGTAAAATATGGCTTTTTTGAGTGCGGGTACAAGAAATGTTCCATTTTTCGTTTCGTAAAATTTTCTGTGCGTTTTTGTGCCATTCTACTCGAATTTGACGATATTACGATAATGTCTAGGTATTTTTATTGACGAGGGGCCAGCGAACAGAGATCATTGGGGATCAGCAGATGCCACTTGAGCGTTCTTCGATTTTTTTCTGACTAGCCTGACTTGTCGCTAACGAGCAGAGACCCATGGAGGCGACAAGCTCCCATGAATGCACGAATCAGACCTTTAAACTGCGCGGATCTTTTTTTTTTACTAGCTGACAACTAGCAGAGATCCTTGACGACCTTGACATTAATGCGTTAAAGACCACTCACATTCGGAGGCGGCGGTCGATTCGTGATGGCCCCCGTCCGGAACGGCGGCTTCTTCTGCATCTGGGGGCTTTGTTGAGCTGTTCGCATCGAAAAACGCCCGCCATCGCCACGCCTAAATTTTGCAGTTGATGGTTTTACTGGAATTTGAGGGACCAGAAGTACAGAATTTTTAGAGCGACTACTAACTACAAACTAGAAAACTTAAAAATATTACAAAAATTAGAAATACAATTACAAGAATAGTACTCGTAACGTAAAAAATCGTTAAAATCGCAATTTACTAAATACCAATTTTGGGAAATTCGTTTGGTCGAATTCTATAGTTTTCAGCCTGTTTTTGTAGTCTGTAGTCTGGCAACGACTTTGCAGTTTGTAGTTTGTAGCCGCTCAAAAATTATTACTGTACTGATAGCCCTCTCGACTTTCTCTATAAATAGCCAGGCATCAATGTCACTCCGATCATCATTTGGGGATGGCAGGCCGAGGAAATTGGGGGGAGGGGGGAATTTTGTTAATTTTTTGCACTACCGTGTTTGGCTGTATTTTAGGGTTACGGTATCTACCATCTAAATAATTCTATTTTTTAGGATTTCGTGAAGTTTAGGAAAGCTTAAAAATACACTTTTTCCAGCAACTTAAAAAATTCTTACACTTTTGACGCTGGACGCGACACGGGACGCGCGAGAAACTGGGCTTTTCTGGCTTAGGAAACTTAGGAATTGAAGCTACAACTTGAAGCTTGAATAATGGACTTGGACTCGACTTACCTGGCTTGACTGACTTAACTTAAAATTTTGAAGCTTTTGAAGCTTCTGAAGCTTGACTGAACTTAATTTAGTGATGATTAAAGCTTAGGTTTCATCTTACGTTCTAGGCTTAGGCTTAGCCTTGGAATCAACTTTGGTAGGCTTGTCTTAGGGTTAGGTTCCGCTAAGCTAAGGCTTAGGCTTAACTTAGGCCTAACTTAAATAGGCTTCGGCTAACCAGCAACAACTTATGACGATTTCCATGCTCATCACGCGACACACACGGCCAAATATCAACTATTCTGGGGGGGGCATACGGTAATCTAGCCATTCCAAGCATGCCAGGAGTAGCGTAACGTAGCGACAGAGAAAAATGACATCCGGAGGAGAAGAAGAGGAAAATAATGGTACTCTAGCTTTTTTCCATTCTATCTAGACTATTGTACTCAACACGACGGCCAGGCAGGCAGGCAGAGATCATTGGGGAAATCGGGGGCAGGGAAAGCTCACGTCGACTGTATCTGGGAGGCGCGTGTCTCGCTATGGCATCGCCATTTCGCCCTTTAAATTCGTGGTTTTAGAGGCATTTTGAAGTCGGAGGGGCGGGGGCAGGCTAGCAGGGGTTATTGGGGTAATTGGGGAATTTTTTGGAAAGTTCTAATCAAGTACGGTACGCTCCGCCACGCAACGTAGCGCTATGTTTCGCTACGCGTTTCTGGCCTACGGTACGCTCCGTTGGAGTACGGCACGCTCCTTTTAGTGTACGGTATGTTGCGTTGCGGACCTATAAACTACGGTACGCTCCGAAAGGGTAGAATACGTTTCGCTACGTAGCGATAGGCTTCGGTACGCACCGAAACGAGTACGATACGCTGCGATATGAGTACGGTACACTCCGATAGGCTACGGTACGCTTCGAGAGAGTACGCCACCTTCCGCTACGCATCGATACGCTTAGGGCCGACTAGCAAAGACCCCCGGTCCTCCTCCTCCTCCAACTTCACAACCCCTTTAAAACCCCCGGGATAGCTTTACACATTTTTGGCGGCCATATGCAACAATGCAACATTACCTAGCCGCGATCGAGTGATCCGAGAGACTGGGTCTATAAGGGGTTTCCGTTTTTAAAGGGCCGTTGAAGTCATGATTATAGATTCTATCGTTCTTTCGCATTATCGGGGGGTTTTTTGGGTTTGGTGGTTTTTTACTATTCCTAAATGTGCAAAATTTACAAATTTGTATTAAAAAAATATCAAAATACCGATTTTTCGACCGAAAATTTCGGTTTTTTTTGAAGTTTTTAGATAGTTTTTCTAGTTTAAATATAATTATATGTTGCTAAAAACACTATTAAAACACTTTCTATTAAGTTACTAGGTATTTCTAGACTATACAAAAAAATTCCCCCGATAATGCGAAAGAACCAAATCCATAGCTGACAAAATCGATAATCGAGCCTGGTACGCCCCTTTAAAGGGCCGTTGAAGGCATTTTCATGGCTTTTCGAACACAAAAATATGCGTAGACACGTATTATTAAGTCATTAGAGCGTGGCGTGGGTGGGAATTGTAAGTAAGAAGAGGGTGCACCTGAAGTTAGAAGTGTTGTTGACTGGGGAGAGGCACGCTGAGGGACGGGCCGACAGGGGCTGCGAGGGTGGCTGGCACCACCTTGTTGAGGATGAGGTTGAGGTTGACGGCGAGGCGAGAGGGGTCACGTTGCACGGCGCGTCCTGCTGACGACGTCCGGCGGGTGGAGCAGCGGCTGGCTGGCGTCTTGAAGCAGGTGCGGCTGTGGCTTGAGCTCGTTTCAGGGCGATCAACTCCTTTAGAAGTTGAGTAGAGTCCCCGCTCGCTCTCCCCTCGACCCCATCGGCGGTGCGTCGCGGCGAGGCGGAGCGGCTGAAAAGAGCCTGGTTATGGAAGACACTCGAAAATCTGAGAAGGAGCTTAAGGCGGGAAACTAGCAGAGATTATTTGGGGAATTTCGACCTCTAGCAAAGATTTTTCAAATTTCTGAGTTGGCGAAGCAGAGATACTTTAGGATTGTGACGAGGGAGCTAGCAATGGTTCCTGAGAAAATCTGGCAGCCTGGCAGAGATTCTTAGCGTTTCAGAGTAGCTAGCTAGCATAAAGGCTTTAGGAATTTATAGGGCGAGCTAGCACAGATCCTTTAGGAATTGAGAAAGCTAAACTAGCGGAGATTCTATCGGAAAACCGAAACCAACTTACGGTGGCGGTTGCTCATCTTCTGAAGAGCTCTCCGAAGCATCAGAATCTGAGGAATCTCCGACGATGCGCGTCTTCATCATGGCGGCGGCTTTGGATTCTCCGGCTCCTAGAAAAAGGAGGTGAGAGCAGAGAGAGAAAGAGAGAGAGAGAGAGAGAGAGAGAGAGAGAGAGAGAGAGAGAGAGAGAGAGAGAGAGAGAGAGAGGGAGAGAGAGAGGGTTTGAGGGAGACGAGAGAGAGAGAGAAAGAAGAGAGAGAGAGAGAGAGAGAGCGAGAATGCACTTACCTATCACAAAAGTCCCGGCCTCACTGACGGCATCGTTATCACGTCGTCCTTGAAGTTGTGGGGTATCTTCAGGGGATAGCGGCTGAGCATTCGAGGAGAGAGGGCCTAAAATTTTACGTTTTTAAAGCACTACCCTCAAAATCCCACCTTGCAAAAGCCTATTCAGCAAATAGTGCTTGCTCGTGTCCTCCGGCGGCTGCGGGGCGGCCGGCGGCGCGACCGCCTTCCGCCCGGCCAGAATTCGCTTTCCCGGCCCGCTTTTCCTGGCTGCATCTTGTAGCGAAAGTTCAGCTGGGGGCCCGCTCTTCGGCGCATCGTCCCCGAACGAGATCGTGAAGGCGGTGGGGCGTTGAGCGTCTTCTTGCTTCGCTTTTTTCTCTCGTTCTCGTCTTTCTCGCAGTTCCTCTTCCTCAGGGAGTGGCTTGGTTAGGTCAAAATCCATACGCACGGCCTTCTGGGGGACGAATCGAGGGGGCGGGGCTTCGATCTGAAATTTTAGGCACTAGAGGTGTTCCTCAAAGAATCTCTGCTAGCCTACCCCTGCAATCCAATTCCTCAGAAAATCTCAGCTAGCCTGCCCGTCTCATTCCTCAAAAAATCTCTGCTAGCCTGCCCTTCTAATGCCTCAAAACTCTCTGCTAGCTCACCTGCGTAGCTCTCCTGGCAGCTTCATTGTCCGAGGTGGCCATGCTCTGACGAGGCGAGCGTCGAGGAGAGCTAAAAATTTTGTATTTTTTTACTTCAATGGTCCTTTAGACATTTTTAAGAGCCCCTAAAGGCACAGTAACATCTAGTACCAACCTCTCGACATCCGTCTGTGTCTCTGGATCGTGAACAGATCCCTGGCTCCTCCTCGGGGCCCACCAACCCTGGTGCGCCTGGAACTTCTCGAGGGAGGTGCCGCTGCCTTGGGTGTTGTAATTTCTAGAAATTGAAGGTTGGCTTGAGTTTTTTAAAGGTATGGTGACAGCTAGAAGCTTCAGGCTTTAGCTTAACTTACCGATTGAATGGAGGCTGCTCCTGGTGGTTCTGGCGGTAGAACTCGGCTGACGAGCGGGTCGAGTCGTGCCTAGAATTTTTTGCTTGGCGTAGGCTTGGGCTTGGGCTTAGGCTTAGGCTTAGGCTTAGACTTGGGCTTAGGCATAGGCCGAGGCTCAGGCTGGCGCCTAGACTTAGGCTGCGACCTACCTAAACGGATCCCCTGGATCTTCCGGTTGCGGAGGACTCGCCCGATGGTGATGAGGTTGCGGAGGTGGAGGGTGTCTAAAAAGTGAAGTCCTTGTTCAAGAAGCCAAAAACCTACCCAAAATGTTGCGGAGGGTACGGATACGGGGGCGCAGCTCCCTTCAGAAGTGATGGGGAGGGCGGGGGTTGATCGGCTGAAATGGGGGTAACTGGCAGAGATTCTTCGGGAGAAAGCCTGAGAGAGCTAGCAGAGATCCTTGAGGAACTAAAGCTTTGTCTCGGAAAGCTAGCAGACATCCTTTAGGAAAACCCTTGGTGAGCTAGCGGAGATTCTTGGAAAGCCATCAGGCAAGCTAGCATAGATCCTTCAGGAAAGGACCGGCTAGCTAGCAGAGGTCTTTGAGGAAACGCCTGGGCTTTCAAAAACGCCTACCATATCTCGGCTCGTGCCTAATATCCTCACTCGAAGCATGCGATGGCATAGGTGAGAAAGGGGCGTGCCTAAAACTCGTTTTAAAGGGATAGTGACCCCAAGCTTCACCTATAAGTAGGAGGCGTCGCGTGCGCAGGGTACCTAGGCGAAGCCCCCGCGTACTGGGGTGGCATTGCGTAGCCAGGGGCGGCTTGACCGTTGTAGCCTGAAAATTGGGGATTTTTTGGGGGTTCAGGCAACTAGCAGAGATCCTTTGACAACTCCTTACCTTGCTGCGGGTGTCCATAGTAGTGGCCGTAGTGGGGCGGGGGATGGCCGCCAGGGGCGTACGGAGCGTAGCCGTAGGGCTGGGGGTAGAACATTCCTTGGGAGGGGACAATGTAGTGTTGGCCGGTGGAGGGGTCGACTAGGACGCGGCCTTCTAGGGGAGGCATCTGAAATGGGAGGGTTAGCAGCGATTCTTTGAGGAATTGGAGGGGCAGGCTAGCAGAGATTTTTAGGAATTGGAAGGGAGGCTAGCAGCGATTATTTGAGGATTTTGAGGGAGGGGTAGGCTAGCAGAGATCCTTTGCGGAACTGCTGGGTAGGCTAGCAGCGATTCTTTGAGGAATTGGAGGGGGCAAGCGAGCAGATATTCTGAAGGAATTGCCGGGGCAGGCTAGCATAGTTTTTTTTTTGAGGAATTCTAGATAGGCTAGTACAGATCTTTTGAAGAATTGGGACATGGGTAGGCTAGCAGAACTTCTATGAGAAATTGGAGAGGACGGTAGGCTAGCAGAGGTTCTTTGAGGAATTTTAGGCAAGGGCAGGCTAGCAGAAATTTTTTCAGGATAGGAGGAGCAGGCTAGCATGGATTCTTTGAGAGATTGCCACTACCTGTGGAGGTCTCGTCTGTGCTTGTCCCTGTGGCTTCTCGGGCCCTGCAGAAGACGTCCCACTGCCCAAACTCGCGATCGACCCAGCCCTCGGGCTCTCCGCATTAATGTCAGGGCCCTAAAAGTATTTTTAACTTTTTTAGTGGGTTTTTCATTATATTTTTGCTTTTTTCAAACCTGTAAGTCCTCTCTTCGAATTGGGAATATTGGAATCATTTTTCAGGGAATTAGAAGCCCCGAATTCTGGTGACTAACAGAAAATGAGCCTCGGATCGATTAGGCCCCGCATTCGCGCCTTTTTGGGGCTTATCAGCACCGAATAATGGAACGGAATGGGCGAATTGGATTTATGAGGCAACAGATGTTCGCTTTAGGGAGGCTAAAAAAGCGTCGTCGTCATGGTGACGGGGGACTACATGAGCATACGCTTTTTTAGCTAGGGCGAGCTAGCAGAGTTTTTTTGGGGAAGAGGGGCTATTGACAGAGACAATTTGAGCAGGGGTCTAGAAGTGAAACTTTTATTTTGCCTTCAATGGCCTTTTAAAGCTTGAATTTGGGCTCGGGTGAGCTAGCAGAGATTCTTTGCGATGAAATTTGAGGTTGGTAAGCTTTTGAAAAGACGATCTGGCAGCGGTTCTTTGCGGAATGCTTTTTCCTGGTTTGGAATGTAAATTTTTACTTCAATGGCCCTTTAAAAACTTCCCACCTGTTGCATGGTTTGATCTATCGGTTGCGCGTCGCGATGGCTCATCTTTTCCGGGCTTTCCGGCAGTCGACCAAGACCTTGAAACGGGTCGGCAATGAAAAATAGTAATTTTTAGAGGCTTGGCTTTAAGGATTAGGCTTAGGCTTAGACTCGAAGTCGGCTTTTTAAAGGGAGCGTGACACCATACAAGCATACCTGGGACGTTAGAGACGGAATAGCGCTTCCCAGCGGGGCATCGACCAGCTGGGGGCTGATCTCCGGAATTCTGGGCCCGAAGAGCCTGAAACATGAATTATTAAGAGGAGGTACTGGGCAATTTCTGAGTTTTATGGAGACCAAAAGAGGGGTAGAACACCGAGGCAAGTTAGCAGACCCCATGTGGGAAAATTTGGAGAAACGGCAGACAAGCATAGGTTCTTTGCTGGCAATGCGCGAGGGCAGGGCAGGCTGGCAGAGATTCTTTGAGGAATCTGAGGGGCAGGCTAGCCGTGACTCTAAGGAATTGGAGAGGAAGGGCAGCTAGCAGAGATTCTTTAAGGACGTGGAGGGCACCTAGCAGAGATTCTTTGCCGAATACAACTCCATAAACGCCGAGACCCCAAATATCCCGGGTAAAGCGGGTCGTCGGCGGGAGGAACACGCCCAGCGGAACCTCCACCCCACAAAAAAAAGAGAATGCTAAAGCTGCGCGTCCCCCCATGCTGTGCCCTCGGGGCTCTCCAGAGCGACTGAAAAGAAGCGCAGGAGGTGCGGGGAAGAGGGCGAGAAGGGCAAAGAAAACGCGCAAACAATAGAATACGACGACTAAGCGTGGTCGAGGGGGGCAGGAAGGGGGTTTGGAATCGATTTTCTAGGTATTAAATTGAATATTCTAAGTCGAAAAAAATCTACAAAAATCGCTCTCACGGGCCTAACATTCTAGGGTTTCTATATTTGTGGCACCATCCCTTTAAAATGGCGTTAAAGAGTCCATAAACCTGATGATTTTGGCTCGAAGCGACGATAGGGCTAGCAGCGATCATTGAGGAAAACTTCAGCGGCTGTCACTCTCCCTTTAAAGTGGTTAAGCTACTTATGAGGCCTGGCAAGCTAGCAGAGATTCTTGGGGAATTTTGAAAGGACTGGGAATTCTTATCCAGTGCGACTAGCTGATTTTGTCAAGAGATCCTTGAGGGAAATTCGCGCTAGATTTTGGCGTGGGCAAACTAGCAGAGATCATTGAGGAAAATTAAGGACTATGTGCCTCTTCGGCAAGCAAGCGACTTTTAAGGGGAAAAATGCTAAGGGAAGCTGGCAGCGATGTTTAAGGAAGCTTTTGCCTGCCTGTATACCTCAAGTATACCCCTTTAAGTATACCTCAAGCGGAAACCAACAATTTTCAAGCCCCCCCGTGAAATGCCGAGCAAAGGTCTGAGCCGTTGGCGAGGGGCAACTGGATCCCCGCGGGGTCACTCGGGCATGAAATCAGTGCCAACACGGCGATAGAGTGCGGAGGGGCAGGCTAGCAGAGACCCTTTGAGGAGGCTCGGGATGACGAATTGGTCAGCTGTCCAGCTTGAACACCACCCTAACACTGCAGAATGAGATCATTTATCCTGTCCACCCTCGCTCAACGCGTTACAGCCACCCATTATGCAGTGATATTGTCGAATGGGGGTAGGAGTGGGCTTGCAGAGATTATTGGGGAGGGAGGCTGGCGAGGATTCTTGAGGAAAAACCCTCGCAGAGGTGTCTAACGAGGCGTACTTGCAGAGATTCTTGAGGAAAGAAACTAGCAGAGACCATTTGAGATAACCGAGATCATTTTCAAGGCAGGCTAGCCTGGGTTCTTGAGGAAGCTAGCAAAGACCATTTGAATTCACTGGAAGCTAGCATAGGTTATTTACGAAGCAGGCTAGCAGAGACACTTCAGGAATCTGGCTGAACCCTAGAAAATTCGGACTTTAAAAGCAGCACCGAAATATCCGGTTTTCTTGGGTTCTGAAAATGGCGAGAATTAATGCCATGTCGCCCGGCTCGGACTGTCCGATCCGGCTTAATTTGCATATGATTTGGCGGGGGCGGATAGGAACGCGTTTTTCGAGAGAGCGAGAGAGCGAGAGAGAGAGAGCCACCAATTATTGGCGGCTTATGGAACGGGATTCTCGAGACTTGGGGTCAGCTGGCAGAAACTCTTTGAGGAATTGGAGGGCAGGCTAGCAGAGATTAATTGAAAAATTTTGCGGACAGGCTAGCAGAGATTCTTTGGGAAATTTGGGTTGCGAAACGATGTGCGGAAACTCATCAAGCTCGTGGGGTTTCGCAACCCAAAAAAGCTCGCTATTCAGCTACTACTTTTTTCCTGCTGAAATTGTCCAATTTCGATCGTCGGAATCCCCAAAATTGCATTTTTGATTCAAAATTGAAGCCAGAATCCTAGAATTTGAAGAATCTCTGCTATCCTGCCGCTTAAAAATATTGTAGCAAAAAGGAGAATGGAAAAATGAAAAGCCCAAACATTAAAACCGCTTAAAAATTGGTGTTTTAGGTTTTTGGAAGCCGGAAAACTCTTACAAACGCTCGGAAATTTCTTTTTTGCTGATGTCAAGTCCCAAAAAGCCGTTTTGAATTTTTTTTAAGACGATTTAAAGCATGAAATCGCTTAAAAACACCGTTTTGCTTATAACCAGCCGGTCATCGAGCCCCCCGACCAGCCGCCCGATAATGGCCCGGGGATGGAATACAATGGCCAGATGGTGGGGTAGAGACAATGGTAATCGAGAGAAGCAGAGAAAGAGGTGGTGGAGGATCGATGGATCGGGTATATAGGAAAGGAAGGGAGACGAAGAGGTGGACTGAAGCCCCTACGCGCCACTCCTCTGCACACACAACCACACACAGCTGTTCGATTATGCCCTCCGGGCGGGGTTGGGTGAAGCGTGTGTGCTGCTTGCTTGTGACTAGGGGAATGGCTTGAAAGGGTGGGGAGTTTCCGCAAATGGACTCTGCTAGCTTGCCTGGAGAATTTGGGAAAGTTCCTGAAGGCTCTCTGCTCGTTCTCGAGTGGTTTTTCTCAAACAATCTTTGCTAGCTGGCCCTGGAAGCTGCGAGAACGCTTGCTTAAAAGATCTCGGCTCGTTTTCGAAAGGTTTTTCTCAAGGGATCTTTGCTAGCTTGCCTGGAAAGTTTGGGGAATTCCTAAATGATCTCTGCTCGTTCGCGAGTGGTTGTTCTCAAGAAGTCTTTTCTATATACTCCTCGATGCTAAGAAAATTCGTAAAGTATTTCTGCTAGTAATCGCGCTGTTTCTCTCAAAGGAACTCTGCTAGTTTGCTCTGGCCATGCACGATTTTGGAGAGAGTTCTGCAACTTTTCCTAAAGCATCTCTGCTAGCCTGCCTCGAAATTGACCAGAATCTAGCGCCCGGTCTCATAAAAAATCTCTGCTAGCCTACCCATCCCCTGTCGAGCCTCGGCACCCCTTTGAACCTCCGAGATTGGGCCTAAACGGCTGGAAAAAAAGGTAGACGAACACCCCGAAAACCGGACAACCCGGTCGAAAAAATAACGAACGGTCAGGTTGGCGGGTGGACGGACAGTCAGTCAGTCGCTACACGACCTCGATTCGCTGGGGAAGAGAGGCGGCAAAAAGAAGGAAAAGAATGATCGCCAATTATCCTGGCTGGGTGGACGGTGGAGATATAGGGCTGCGGCGGGAAAGTGAAAAATAGAGCCGCTGAAATTTGTTTTGCAAATGATCTTTGCTGGCCTGCTGTCCAATTCCTCAAAAGATCTCTGCTAGC